TGCAACTTGCACTGTAAGCTTTAGGAAAAAAGTCATGAAAATATTGCAGCTAGCGGAGGACACAACAGAAATTAATTTATCACCAAACAAGTCTAATATAAAACTAGTACATGTATCTTCCAAAATTAAAAATTAAATTGAAATGGGAATGACATGGTTAGTAGATGCATTAGAGGAAAAAAGTCAGGACTTCCCACGTACACTTTTGTATTGTTCATCGATAAATGACACTTCCAAACTTTATAAATACATTGTAACAGAATTGCCACATTGTGCCAAGTATATTGAGATGTTCCATTCTGAAACTCCAGATGTTAACAAAAACATCATAATTAATGCATTGAAGGAGGAAAGTAGTGTTTTGATACTTATTTTGTCAACCAGTGCCCTGGGAATGGGTTTAGATGTAAAAAAGTGTAGTGGAGTGGTATTATTTGGACCTCCAAATAATCTGGTAGATTTGCTGCAAGAAATAGGGCGAGTGGGGAGGGATGGAAATCCATCAGTTGCCATTATCCTATACAATGGATACCACTTGCAGAAGTTGAAACCGGAAGTTAAGGCAATTCTTAAAGCTAAAGATTGTTGGAGAAAGGATCTAATGTGTAATTTCCTCAGAAATTCAGACTTGGATGATTTGATGAAGAAAGAAAGCAGGAAACATTCATGCTGTGACTTGTGTACTAAGTCTTGTAATTGTGAATCCTGTGATATGTTACCTCTTGAGAAGTTATTTCTGTCAGAACAAGTTGTTGAGGAGCTCGAGGAGCAAGAAGATTCTGCTGTTTCAGATAGCGATACTGAAGACTACAATTTGTCGGCCTATGAATACTTCGAAGATCTTGATATGGCTTTATTAGAAATACAAGATGATTAAAACAGTTGATATTTATTTATTTAATTTTTCAGTATCTAGTTTCTGTAACTTATTCAACTTTAGACTCTTCAAATTTTTTTGACTTTTAACCCCCTTACAATTGCTGTATTGCCACTCTAGATCTGGGTTCATGTCATGCCTGCAGCTGTCAATGTGACTAAAAAGAGATGTAGCGTATACAAAACAAATGAGACAGTAACTGATTGACACACATCATAAGATATTTACTTGTTTTAATCTTAAAAATAAAGAGATGCGGTATGATTGCCAATCAGACAACTACCCTCCAGACTTTTCAATAACTTGATTTAAGCATTGTAGTACAACGTGAAAAACCCATGCCTTTAGTCGGCTACAAAAGCCCTGACCAGAAAAATATGAAAAAATTCAAAAGAGAAAACCATGTCTGCCATGTCTGTCAGAAATGGTTGCAGATTCGCCTAATCTTGACCTCATTTCATGAAACAAGCATATATTCGGGGTCAAGTCTGCATCTCGATTACTATAAACATGATAAACAAACAGAAAAATATATTTGGTGTGGAATTATTGTAAGATGTGGAATGATAGCCAATGAGCATGATTAGACAACTCTCCACAAGAGACCAAATGACACAGAAAGTAACAACTATAGGTCACTGTACGGCCTTCAACAATGAGCAAAGCCAATACCGCATAGTCAGCTATAAAAGGCCCTGAAATGACAAATGTAAAACAATTCAAACAAGAAAACTAACGGCCTAATTTATGTACAAAAAATGAACGAAAAACAAATATGTAACACATAAACAAACGACAACCACTGAATTACCTAAGGCTCCTGATTTAGGACAGGCACATACATACAGAATATTGCGGGGTTAAACATGTTAGCAGGATCCTAACCTGGGACAGTGGTGTAACAGTACAACACAGGAACGAACTATAAAAATCACTCTGGTTGGTTTCTGACCTTGACTTTTCATGGTTTATTGATCAACAAGTCAACTATCTTTGGTGTATAGAATTATTGCTATTGATGTATGTCCTTTTGTGCTAAGTTTTGGCATGGTTCATATGACATGTATGACTTTGACCTTTTTGTTCATTGTTCTTGATGATGTTATATTTGTTCTATATAGCAAACTCATTGTATTTAACTTGGTGTAACCAACAGTATACATAGAGGATGATTATTTTTGCTCAAAATGAACATTGATAGGTTGATTGATTATTGATTTCTTCACTTGGGTTTCAGTGGCAAATATTTCATGCATATTCAAGACAATAACATGAAGTGGGACTATATCTTACTTACAACTTTGTTCAAGACCAATGTGTTCATCAAGAAAACAGTCAAATATAGACTTAATACCACATCTTCTTTTTTATACGACCACAAAATAATTTTGCGGTCGTATATTGGTATGACGTTGGCGTCGTTGTCCGAAGACACATTGGTTTTAGCACTCTTACTTTAGTTTAAGTAAATGGATCTCCATGAAATTTTACCATAAGGTTCAATACCACAAAAGTAAGGTGGGGATTGATTTTGGGGGTTATGGTACCAACAGTTCAGGAATTAGGGGCCAAAAATAAGCATTTTTGTAACTTCCAGACATTACTTGTGTGTTAGTGTATGGATCTCTCTGACATTGTACCACAAGGTTCCATATCACAAAGGGAAGGCTGGGATTGATTTTGGGGGTAATTGCCTCAAAATTTTAGAAATTAAGGGCCAAAAAACAAGTATTTTTCTAGTTTCATGACAATAACTTGTGTGTAAGTGTATGGATCTTTCTGAAATTGTACTACAAGGTTCCATATCACAAAGAGAAAGCTAGGTTTGAGTTTGGGGATAATTTCCCTAAATGTTTAGGAATTTTGAACCAAAAAGGGGCCAAAAAACAAGCATTTTTCTAGTTTCCAGTCAATAACTTGTGTTTGAATAGGTAAATTAAAAATTTATAAGTTCTTAGACCACATTTATTCTGTGTCAGAAACCTATGCTGTGTCAAATATTTAATCACAATCCAAATTCAGTGCTGTATCAAGCTCGACTGTTGTGTCCATACTTGCCCCAACTGTTCAGGGTTCGACCTCTGCAGTCGTATCAAGCTGGGCCCAGCAGAGCATTTTATTATATTAAGTTACTGTGTTTAATTTGACTTAGATAGAAATTGAACCAAATAATGTGCACTAATAACTTCATCACTCAGGAAAGCACATTTAACCAACACAACCTTGTATAAGTTTTATCAACAGCTCTTTACATGTACATATAGGGTAAATATCTGCATGCTGGTCGCCTTGTGAACAAATCTGTAAGAGTTTGGTTTTTATCTCATTGTTGTTTTGTACAAACGTGCTTGATGTTTTCATAAAGTCATTTCGGGTCTTTGTACAGCTTGCTATAGGTTTTACTCAAAGTCAGAGGTGGAACTGTGAACTTTAATACAGAAAAATAAGTTGGTCCCTTTTGAATAGTTGTCTCATTAGAAATCATGCCACATTTTTATAAACATGTTTTTGTAGGTAGTTATGCTGCCTAATCAAAATGACCATGATATTCTGCAACTAAACTGAAAGTATTTCATTACTTAGTTTGTTGGGTTGATGTCTCATTGACTTATGACACTTTAATATCAGCAACAAACTACTAAAAAAGTACCAGCTAATTAAGGTTATGACTTAAGAGAAAATTAAACCTGCACACTTTATTCACAATAATTTAATTCCAAGCAATATTTTTCAAATATGTGGATTTGAAGGCGATGGAAGGGGACTGTTGGTTGATGTCACGGAGAAGAATCAATGTACGAAGTCCTATAAATGCACTGTCAAATGGGTTTTTGTCTTTTTTTAGCTCGTTGCACTTAACTGTTATTATTCTTGAAGTTTTATATGTTACATGTAGTACATTTTCTTGTAGTAGGTCTTTTGCAATTTTCTGAACATCAGCTTGGTATGACCGTATATGGTGGAACCCCTTCTTTCCTGTTAAATTGGTAATGTTATCAAAATTGCTTGCAAAATTAACTAGGTGAGGATACTCTTTAGAGTGTCGAAGGATACTTTCCTTTGTCTGATGTCCTGAACATGTTACTTTTGTATCCTTGTTCAACATCTCTCAAGTATTCATCTAAGCTTATATTATTGTTTGTTCCACCTTGCAGATTAACAAATCTATTAGCAATTAATCTTTCTGATTGGTCAGGTGGTAAGACACCCGAAGTTAGTCACTTAGTTCTTCTTGAATTTTTAATGCATCTTTCTTAATTTGATTGACTGTTGGACTTTTCTAAAACATTTAATACAGACGCCATTGTCATTGTCTACTTCGGCGTTAACTTCAAAACCAGTAACAACACTAGAAATTATTGCGATTCTCTCTGAGTTCTGCTGAAGTTTCAGTTTGAACAGTTTTTTTTCAACACGTTCTCCCGTTGAGGAGATTTCTATCTGGATGAAAGAAAAACCGCATAAAACACAAATGTTTGTTCATACTGATATTTTCCTTGGTGTGCATACTTCACTTGATGCCATTTTAACCTCGGAAGGCAATAATACAAACTATTATTACAGTTGTATGTTACAAAACGTTTTTCGCATGGGGGCTGCCATTTTTGTTTATATACATTCGGAAGACCTCTAGACGCTACTAAGACTCCTATGCCAGTCCAATACCCTAACACTTTGTAGCACCTTCGCTGATTGGCTAGAGCAAATTTGACCCTAGACATGACCCTCAAGCGGCTGTTGTTAGATCTCCCACGCGCGACATATAAACAACGAGGAGCAAGTGCGGAGATTTAATTTTAATTAGATTGGACATACATGTAACCGTATGCAAGTTTTGGACATTTCTGATCAACAGTCAACATCGTTACAATACAAATTATCAGCACCTAAAATGACTATGCAAATCCTTTGATATAGTGAAGCATTAAATAATATTCAATCAAAATCTTTAGATCACTTGGACTGTGGAAAATTTATAGTGTACTGTTGGAAAGAGAAAAGGCAAATGGAAAATAGTTCTATTTGGGTGTTTCTTTTCCTTTTCTAAGTATGTGATAGCAGTCGAAACCAAGCTAAAAATAGTTTGATGTTAACATAGCAGGGTGCTCTTTAATTTGTTAACCTTCTCGTCTTTTCTATTTAGCAACTTTCTAAACATTTTTTCTCAGGTGTTGCAGATGACACGGGGAACGTCCCTTCCGGAAGTTGTCACCGGAAGTCGATTGTAGCGACACCTGTAGCCGGTGTTCCTCAAGTTCACAAGCAGACCACATTCAGCAAAATATGCTTACTACCTTCTCACAAAAGTCGTTGCCTTTCTTAAAGGTAAACAAATGCAGTTATATAATCTTTGCAATACCATTGATCGATAAAGATATCACAAGACTGTCCGATAACACTCATTTTCCGAGGACATTATTTTTTTATTCATTTTATGTTGCAAATTATACACATAATGTTATTATAACTTCATCAACTTTATACAGTATAGCGATTTTGGTTAATCAAGGTTACTTTCTTTCAGCAAGAGACATATTAAAAAATAAATATTTGCAAGACATATGATTATTTTGCGTATATAGATTCATGACCTTGACAGCTAGAATACACTAATATATTTTATGCAATATTCCAATAGTACCTGTAGTGTAGATATCTACTTTATTAATACCTGCTTGTGTGGTACTCTTTAAAGTGCACTTGTTACTTGTCAATTGTAGAGCTCTATAATGACATTGTAATATTGCAAATACAAGATCTCAGAATATCAACAGCACATGATGATGATCAGGGGTTCTAATTTATTATAATTGAAAGTCTAAGGTCCAGGGGTACAAGTCAATTCAGCACTTATATCAAAAGTCAAATCAGCACCTATTTAAAGTCATTTCGGCATTTTGTTTGTCAATTTGGCACCATATATAATTTTTACCTTTTTCTTTCCTTTTTATTTGAGGTCTCAGGGAGAAAAGGTTTTCTTTTTTATATATATATTTTTTTGGCTAAACTTACAATTTCAGAGGTCAATTAAAAAGATACATTTCGTACATCCTTAAAAATCAGCACATGTAATTAAGTACATGTAGTTAGAATACACAATAACAATCATTTGGTTTGCTGTTTGAAGTTTCTCTCAATATCTTATTAATAATGTTTTGATTGGTTATCATTCCAAAACTAATATACATTTGCATGTTAAATTAATTAAAAACCCATTTGTTGTTTTACCATTTTTAGATAGTTTTTGATGTTTTATAATTAAATATAACTTAAATAAAACAAAGAAGTCATTACCTAATCTGTTGTTAAAAAATAAACCACAAATGAGGATGAAAACAAATTAAATCATTGTAATTTTTTTTTTGGAAAGGAGGGGGGATTATTTTTTTCTTCAAGATTTCAGAAATTGTCAATTTTCCAAAGAAAAATTGGGGGTCGCAATTGCTAATTCTTTGTATATAGACTGAAAACAGATTTACTAAGTATTGTGCAACAGCACAGTGTATTGCACAAAAGCAAGAGATCTTCAATTGAATATAAATTCAAATCATATAACCAATTTTAAGTTCTTTGACTGCATTTATTCTATGTCAGAATTCTGTAATGTGTCAAATATTTAATTACAATCCAAATTCAGACCTGAATCAAGCTTGAATATTGTGTCCATTTTTGCCCCAACTGTCAGGGTTGGACCTCTGCGGTCGTATCCAGCTGCACTTAGCGAAGCAGTTTATTATATTTAATGTTAAAATCAGATTTATAAGAAATGATATGGGTTATCCATCCATGACACAGAATCAGTGCATGCACTGCAATACACACTAAAAGCAAAGGAACAGCGCTTTTATTGCCATTTTTCATCTCAAAGTGACAGTGATTTTGTTTACCTACAAAATGTATATGTAATGTAAAATTTGATTTTTGTTCCCAGTATGTGCATTACCGATGTCATGTGTTACAAAAATATAACTATACAAAAATTAATTTTAGGGAACATCAAGTAAAGTTGTGAGATGTCTGATTGTATCACAGAACAGATCTTATGCCAGTGAAGGTAATGCACAGTAGATATTTAATATTTAGAGATCTATAGAAATCATGATTTTGTCATGGAAATACTAAATCCGGCTATATACTATTATATATTTGTGAGTCATGAACATTTCAGTATAACTTATGACCAAGTTTTGTCGTAAGATGTTTTTGTGAAAAGTCAATGCAACAACTTTTTAGTACTTAAATTGGGCTGTTTGGAAAAATGATGTTTATAGACTTTGCACTGCAGCAGTGCACATTCAGTTAAAAATTACACTTTTCAGTAAATGTTTAATTGTTGCTGGTTATATTTACAGTAAAATTTCTGTATATTTTCTCTTTTCAAAAAACATGAGTTGTCTCCCATTTGTTAAACTTGCTACTTTTATGTTGATATTTACTGCATTGTTCCTAATAGAAAATCATACAGCTCTTATGTAGTTTTGGAAGATGGGATGTTATGTAATTGAATACTGTAAATTCAGAACTTATTGCATGCATATATTATTATGATTTTTGAAGAACGAACAATAATGTGAGATCAACTTTTGCAATTTAGGAAAAATCTGCATATATGTATATTTATCAGATATCAGAATGCAAGTTCTTATTATTGCGGTACTTACTGAGTCACAATATTTTTGTTAATAGAAGCCTCAGGATAATTTCTGAATTTACAGTAATGTTATGTAACATAAGGTTATCGTGGACATCAAAATTTATAAAATAGCTACGTAAACTATATGGAAATACTTATTTAAATTGAGATAACTCTTTTACCAGTTGGAAAACAAAAAAATCAATTGTTATACACAACCAATCTCTGAAACTGAGAAGCTGAAAATACTAAACAGATAAATTTAAAAAAAGGAAACTATTGAACTTTTTTATTCCATCCAAATGTACATTTTGTAAATGAAGTCATTTACTCATGCATCTTCCTAATTCATAGGGGCCTCGGTGGCTGAGTGGTCTAAGTAGTTACTACTGTAATCACTAGCCAGTCAACACTGAGGTTGTGAGTTCAAACCCCGCTCGTGAGGGTGCACTCAACTCTAATCTTAATTGACTAGGATTATCAGTTTTATTATTGAAGGTCGGTGGTTTTCTCCGGGCACTCTGGCGTCCTCCACCAATAAAAACTGGCCGCCACGAAATAGCCCAAAAGCGGTGCTTTAAAGTGGCGTTAAAACACCAAAAATCAAAATTAAATCAAATCCTAATTCATACATGTATCTATTGAAAATTATGTTAATAATTGGTTACATGTTCAATGGTTCATTGTTGTTTTGCCTGACTGAGAAGATGTATCAACTCATAGGGATAACTTCTGATATTTTGAGTCTTCATCATTGTCACACTTTGCTTATCCACAACTCATTGAAAACAGTTGGAATTAAGTTGTGCAACTGCTTTTTTTTTAATTTTTGATTTGAGTGATTTTATTGGTTTTCCAATTAAAAAAAACATGGAATTCACCATTTCTGCTAACAATAGCATATATTATTTACTGGGAGATGGCAGGCAATGCATATCCTACTTGAAAAAACACACATTTTTTTCTTAAATATGTAAAGAAATGGCAAAGTATAAGCATTGCAAGTGCAATCAACTGGACTTCATGAATTAAGCAGTACTGCCTTATACATTGTAGATGTACCCTGAACTTGTATTTATTTTCTTATATTTCAGCTGATAATGATTTAGTTGTAATTGGGTCTGGACCTGGAGGTTATGTTGCTGCCATTAAAGCTGCACAGCTTGGCCTTAAAGTAAGCAAGGTTTAAAAATCAAAAATTTTCAATTGAAAACATATTTTTGTCAACACAGGAGCTGCCTCATTTTCCTAATAAAAAGTAAGAACACAATAGTTGCAAATTCAGGATGAATTTACTAAACTTTATTTAGACTTACTTTTTTTATTGTACACTATTTTGAATTTGAAGAAAAATCTTTATTACAAACTATACATGAATTTAAAAGGCAATATGAGGTATACACGAAGAAGATAGCAATCCAACAAAACAGAAAACCCAAAAGACATTTAGAAATCTGACTGAGACTATTAATCAAAGAATTGCCACCATAACCAAATTTCCTAAAGAATGTTCGGTATGCTCTATTCTTATAATTTTTTTAATACAAATTTATATTTGTTATACAAATTTTTTATCTTAGACAGTATGTGTTGAGAAAAATGAGACTTTAGGAGGAACTTGTTTGAATGTTGGGTGTATACCATCAAAAGCATTACTCAACAACTCACATTTATATCATATGGCTGCTGGTAAAGATCTAAAAACTAGAGGCATTGAATGTAAGTTGTGAACATATAATCAGTGATTCAGAAGATTTTTTATTTACATTTATGTCCAGTAAACATTTGGTCTTTTCTAGACCAAACCATCAGCATTTAAAATGACTTTCACTAACTTAATTTTAGCATTTTTATTTATATTTACATGTATCAGGGCAATGCATTGATATATATGCATTAGCTGGAACTAAATTTGGTGGTTCATAGTTTTGGTTTCATAATAGTATATTAACTTATTAAGAATGTTTGATTTGAAATAGAGTTAGATAAGATAAATGAAAGTTTCATGAATGTTTGTCCCAATATGCAAAAGCATGTCAGAATTTTTATATAATGAAAAGATTGACAGTATATCTTGCAGATTTTTACTATGTTGGATTGTTTTAAGTAGAGATTATGTAAAAGTAACCATCTGTTTTCTGCTGTTCGGTCGGGTTGTTGTCTCTTTGACACATTCCCCATTTCCATTCTCTATATATCCATAAGAAAATGTTAATCCCTGGAAATTCCTTGGAAATTCAACACAGGAATTTCCAACTTTTACATGAACTTTTTAAAATTTAATTCATTCCTAAAAAATAAATAGATTATTGATATGTATGTGGTTGGATTCATTTTCAATTTCTTTTCAGTATTGTAAAGCTATTTTTTTGGCAAATATTCAGAATTATTTTATTTTAGTTGAAAGTGTCAAGTTGAATCTTGATCAAATGATGTCACAAAAAACAAAAGCAGTAAAAGCTCTGACAGGAGGAATAGCACATCTCTTTAAACAGAATAAGGTAATGTCTTTGGAAAAAATAAGTACAGGTATAATCTGTATCAAAATGAAAGGAATTACAGTGATTAACTAAATTTTGGTACCAATATTTATCACAAAGTCATACAATATTTGCCTTTGAGATGAAGAACAGCAATAAAAGTGATGTCCCTTTGCTCTGGGAAGGGATTTTATGTCTTAGGGATAAATGTATATACAAAAGACATTACATTTGCTGTTTATATATCCAATAGAAAAATTGTCAAAATATGACTTCAGTGATTTCGGATTATTAATCACAGTTTTTTTCATGACATTTATACCTTAGATAGTATTTTATTCATCAATTTATAGTTATTGAAATCAGCTCGTTACACATTGTTATGGATTTATGAAATCAACAGTAATGAGCAAAGGTAATGAACCTCTTTAACTCAGCTGAAACATTATTATTTTTGAGTTGTGTTCCTTTGTTTATTCAAGTTTTTACTGTTCTGTCAAATACCAGAGATCCTGTCAACTTCAAGATCATTACACTGTATTAAAATCATTTTTAGGGGGATATTTCTTCTGTAAAATGGTGATTTATGAAAATTTGTCAGTCAAGAGATATATATATATAATATGCTAATTTGATTGTCACATAAGTTGGCTACAGCCTTAAAAATTCTTTATCTTAACAAATAATAGAGAGTGATAAATACCAAATTTAGATTTAATGTTTTACTCTATTTTTACAGAAGATTTCAAGATCCTTAATAGTTGTATACTATAATTTAAAAATATTAGTTTATTAACACATTTTCTAAGTAAATTTCACTTTAAATGAATATGTGCATGGTATCAATCTTACTATTGTTATTCAGGTAACACATGTTCAAGGTTTTGGTAAAATAAGTGGTCCAAATGAAGTTACAGTAGTCAAAAGTGATGGTACTGAAGAAAAGATAAGCACAAAAAATATAATGATTGCAACTGGGTCTGAAGTTACACCATTCCCTGGAATCAAGGTAAGTCATTTATTATAAATGTATAGATACATTTTAAAATATTATGAAGGTCAAAAACTAGCAATAATAGCTTAGTCTTCTTCATTGAAACACAACATAATTAATTTCATAATACATGTTTCTTTCAGTTTTTATACGAGTGCAAAAAAAATGTTTGCGTCATATAATGCTATGATGTCATCGTCGTCCGAAGACACATTTGGTTTCCAGACAATAACTTTAGTTTTAGTGAATGGATCTCTATGAATTTTTACCAGAAGGGTTAATACCACAAAAGGAAGGTTGGGATTGATTTTGGGGGTGATGGTACCATCAGTTTAGGAATGAGGGGCCAAAAAGGGGCCCAAAAAAGCATTTTTGTAGTTTCTGGACAATAATTTGTGTGTAAGTGTATGGATCTCTCAGAAATTGTACCACAGGGTTCCATATCACAAAGGGAAGGCTGGGATTGAGTTGGGGTTAATTTCCCCAACCGTTCAGGAATTAGGGGCAAAAAAGGGGCCAAAAACAAGCATTTTTCTAGTTTCCAGACAATAACTTGTGTTTAAGTGTATGGATCTCTCTTAAATTGTACTACAAGGCTCCATACCATAATGAGAAGGCTGGGATTGAGTTTGGGGGTAATTACTCATAAAGGTTGGGTGGGGTGTTCAAAAAGTTGGTGGGATTTTTTTTTCCAATTTTTTTTGGGGGTTCATTTTTTTTCTTCAAAATTTTTGAAATTTCAAATTTTTGAAATCTTCAATTGCACAGTATTGCGCAATAGCAAGAAATATTCAATTGCACAGTATTGCGCAATAGCACAGTATTGTACAATAGAACAGTATTGGGCAAAAGCAAGAAATCTTCAATTGCACAGTATTGCACAAAAGCACAGTATTGCGCAATAGCCAGAAATCTTCAATTGCACAGTATTGTGCAATATCAAGAAATCTTCAATTGAAAACAAATACAAATGTTTTAACCAATTTTGATACGATTAATAAAGTCTTTTTTGGGGGTTCTAACCTTGTATAATTTTTTTGGATATTGGGCCCCATTTTTATACGACCGCAAAAAGGTCGTATATTGGTATGACGTTGGTGTCGTCGTCGTCCGAAGACACATTGGTTTTCGCACTCTAACTTTAGTTTAAGTGAATGGATCTCTTTGAAATTTTACCATAAGGTTTAATACCACAAAAGGAAGGTGGGGATTGATTTTGGGGGTTATGGTACCAACAGTTAAGGAATTAGGGGCCAAAAAGGGGCCAAAAATAAGCATTTTCTAGTTTCCAGACAATAACTGTGGAACGGTGTATGGATCTCTCTGAAATTATACTACAAGTTTCCATACCACAAAGGGATGGTTAGGATTTGCTTTGGGAGGTTATGGCTCAAACCTTTAGGAATTAGGGGCAAAAAAGGGGGAAAAACAAGGTTGTCCTGGTTAATGGACAAATACTTTAGTACAAAACATAACTTAAAGCAGTGTAAGGGAGATAAATCAAATACATCATTGAAATTATCTCCCTTATTCTGCTTTTAAATTATGTATAAAGTAATGGTTAATGAACAATTAAGATAATTTAAAACAGTGTAAGGGAGGTAATCCAAATACGTTTTGGTTACTTCCCTTACACTGCTTTTAAATTATGTTTAAAGAAATGCATATTTATAAAGGAAGACCAGTAAAAATATCTGCAAATGTTGCATCTTTTTTTTTTACAAAAAAATATCCACATGAAAGATTTGACACTATATTTTAAATTCTATTATAAAATAGATTAAGTTAGCACTATGGTAAATTTAAATGGGTAATTATGGTTGCAAACTCCATTGGAAATTTGAATTGAGATTATGACCATATCTTGAGGGAAAGAATTTTTTGGGGGAAAAAAGGGGGGGGGGGGGGTAAAAAGAAATTGTTGGGGGTCAATTTTTTCTCATTTCAGATTTCAGAAATTAAAAAGAATTATTCTTCAAATATTATTTTTTTTTCAAATTTCAAATATTGAAAAATTTCAAGAAGTAATCTTTAATTGCACAGTATGGCGCATTAGATTTGTAAAATCTTTGACCACATTTATTTATTTGTTATGCCGAATCTAACCGTGTATTTAGATTTTTAATTTTGGGTCCAGTTTTCAAATTGGTCTACATTAAGGTCCAAAGGGTCCAAAATTAAACTTAGTTTGATTTTAACAAAAATTGAATTCCTGGGGTTCTTTGATATGCTGAATCTAAACATGTGTTTAGATTTTTGATTATTGGCCCAGTTTTCAAGTTGGTCCAAGTTGGGGTCCAAAATTAAACTTTGTTTGATTTCAACAAAAATTGAATATATGGGGTTCTTTGATATGCTGAATCTAAACATGTTTTTAGATTTTTGGCCCAGTTTTCAAGTTGGTTGAAATTGGGGTCCAAAATTAAACTTTGTTTGATTTCAACAAAAATTGAATATATGGGGTTCTTTGATATGCTGAATCTAACCATGTATTTAGATTTTTTATTTGTGGGCCCGCTATCAAATTGGTTCATATTGAGGTTAAAAGGGTCCAAAATTAAACTTTGTTTGATTTCATCAAAATTTGAATTATTGGGGTTCTTTGATATGCCAAATCTAACCGTGTATTTAGATTTTTTATTTTGGGTCCCGTTTTTTAAATTGGTCTACATTAAGGTCCAAAGAGTCCAAAATTAAACTTTGTTTGATTTTAACAAAAATTGAATTCTTGGGGTTCTTTGATATGCGGAATCTAAACATGTGTTTAGATTTTTGATTATGGGCCCAGTTTTCAAGTTGGTCCAAGTTGGGGTTCAAAATTAAACTTTTTTTGATTTCAACAAAAATTGAATATATGGGGTTCTTTGATATGCTGAATCTAACCATGTATTTAAATTTTTTATTTGTGGGCCTCGCTATTAAATTGGTTCATATTGAAGTCAAAAGGGTCCAAAATTAAACTTTGTTTGATTTCATCAAAAATTGAATTATTGGGGTTCTTTAATATTCCAAATCTAACCATGTATGTAGATTTTTAATTTTGGGTCCTGTTTTTTAAATTGGTCTACATTAAGGTCCAAAGGGTCCAAAATTAAACTTAGTTTGATTTTAACAAAAATTGAATTCCTGGGGTTCTTTGATATGCTGAATCTAAACATGTGTTTAGATTTTTGATTATTTGCCCAGTTTTCAAGTTGGTCCAAGTTGGGGTCCAAAATTAAACTTTGTTTGATTTCAACAAAAATTGAATATATGGGGTTCTTTGATATGCTGAATCTAAACATGTATTTAGATTTTAGATTTTTGGCCAAGTTTTCAAGTTGGTCCAAATTGGGGTCCAAAATTAAACTTTGTTTGATTTCAACAAAAATTGAATATATGGGGTTCTTTGATATGCTGAATCTAACCATGTATTTAGATTTTTTATTTATGGACCCGCTATCAAATTGGTTCATATTGAGGTTAAAAGGGTCCAAAATTAAACTTTGTTTGATTTCATCAAAATTTGAATTATTGGGGTTCTTTGATATGCCAAATCTAACCGTGTATTTAGATTTTTTATTTTGGGTCCCGTTTTTGAAATTGGTCTACATTAAGGTCCAAAGAGTCCAAAATTAAACTTAGTTTGATTTTAACAAAAATTGAATTCTTGGGGTTCTTTGATATGCGGAATCTAAACATGTGTTTAGATTTTTGATTATGGGCCCAGTTTTCAAGTTGGTCCAAGTTGGGGTTCAAAATTAAACTTTTTTTGATTTCAACAAAAATTGAATATATGGGGTTCTTTGATATGCTGAATCTAACCATGTATTTAGATTTTTTATTTGTGGGCCCCGCTATTAAATTGGTTCATATTGAAGTCAAAAGGGTCCAAAATTAAACTTTGTTTGATTTCATCAAAAATTGAATTATTGGGGTTCTTTAATATTCCAAATCTAACCGTGTATGTAGATTTTTAATTTTGGGTCCCGTTTTTTAAATTGGTCTACCTTAAGGTCCAAAGGGTCCAAAATTAAACTTAGTTTGATTTTAACAAAAATTGAATTCCTGGGGTTCTTTGATATGCTGAATCTAAACATGTGTTTAGATTTTTGATTATTTGCCCAGTTTTCAAGTTGGTCCAAGTTGGGGTCCAAAATTAAACTTTGTTTGATTTCAACAAAAATTGAATATATGGGGTTCTTTGATATGCTGAATCTAAACATGTATTTAGATTTTAGATTTTTGGCCAAGTTTTCAAGTTGGTCCAAATTGGGGTCCAAAATTAAACTTTGTTTGATTTCAACAAAAATTGAATATATGGGGTTCTTTGATATGCTGAATCTAACCATGTATTTAGATTTTTTATTTATGGACCCGCTATCAAATTGGTTCATATTGAGGTTAAAAGGGTCCAAAATTAAACTTTGTTTGATTTCATCAAAATTTGAATTATTGGGGTTCTTTGATATGCCAAATCTAACCGTGTATTTAGATTTTTTATTTTGGGTCCCGTTTTTGAAATTGGTCTACATTAAGGTCCAAAGAGTCCAAAATTAAACTTAGTTTGATTTTAACAAAAATTGAATTCTTGGGGTTCTTTGATATGCGGAATCTAAACATGTGTTTAGATTTTTGATTATGGGCCCAGTTTTCAAGTTGGTCCAAGTTGGGGTTCAAAATTAAACTTTTTTTGATTTCAACAAAAATTGAATATATGGGGTTCTTTGATATGCTGAATCTAACCATGTATTTAGATTTTTTATTTGTGGGCCCCGCTATTAAATTGGTTCATATTGAAGTCAAAAGGGTCCAAAATTAAACTTTGTTTGATTTCATCAAAAATTGAATTATTGGGGTTCTTTAATATTCCAAATCTAACCGTGTATGTAGATTTTTAATTTTGGGTCCCGTTTTTTAAATTGGTCTACATTAAGGTCCAAAGGGTCCAAAATTAAACTTAGTTTGATTTTAACAAAAATTGAATTCTTGGGGTTCTTTGATATGTGGAATCTAAACATGTATTTAGATTTTTGATTATGGGCCCAGTTTTCAAGTTTGTCCAAGTTGGGGTCCAAAATTAAACTTTGTTTGATTTCAACAAAAATTGAATATATGGGGTTCTTTGATATGCTGAATCTAACCATGTATTTTGATTTTGGACATTGGACCATAATAGGTAAATTACAAAAAATCAAGTTCTTAGACCACATTCTTTCTGTGTCAGAAACCTATGCTGTGTCAAATATTTAATCACAATCCAAATTCAGAGCTGTATCAAACTTGAATGTTGTGTCCATACTCGCCCCAACTGTTCAGGGTTCGACCTCTGCGGTCGTATCAAGCTGCGCCCAGCGAAGCATTTTATTAAATTGGTCTACATTGAGGTCAAAAGGGTCCAAAATTAAACTTTGTTTGATTTCATCAAAAACTGAATTATTGCGGCTGTATGATTTGCTGAATCTTATAATGAATTTAGATTTTTATTTTGGGCCCTGTTTTCAAATTAGTTTATATTAAGGTTTGAAGGGTCCAAATTAAAATTTGTTTGATTTCAACTAAAATCAAATTATTGGTGTTTTTTTATGTGCTGAATCTAACCATGTTGTTGGATATCAGACCATTCTATGTAAATTAAATGTCCCATTTCAAATTTTTAAGATCTTTGACTACATTTATTATGTGTCAGAAACCTATATTATGGTAAAAAATTTGATCACAAGCCAAATTCAGACAGTATCAAGCTTGAATATTGTGTCCAAACTTGCCCCAACTGTTTAGGGTTCGATCTCTGCGGTCGTATCAGGCTGCACTTAGCGAAGCATTTTAATGGAATCTGGAATCAAATTTTGGTCATTTTATACAGAAATTTCACTGATTCTAAGTGTAGTGAATTCTACTGAACCATTTATCCAATTATGCTTAGCCTGTGCTGGATCTCACACAGTTAATTTAACATCAAATTTTACAGGAGCTCAATATTTTGAAGAATTGAAGTATGTTTTTACATGATACATTTATCTGAAAAGTCTTTTTCGTTGCTGATATTTTACACAGATATGCCAAAAGTTTTTTTTTTTTTAATGCATCATACATTCTAATTAAAAGCACATATATTCCAAGAGAAAGCTATGTTAGTTAAGCTGTAGACAGACAATGTACCTACATTTGTTACATTTTGATATTAAGGTATGTAAATGAAAAACAATTCCTTTTTGTTATAGCTATTGACTTTAATATTTGGAATATTTTACAGATAGATGAAGAAAAAGTTGTGTCATCAACAGGTGCTCTGTCCTTGAAAAAGGTACCAGAAAAAATGATAGTAATAGGAGCTGGTGTCATTGGTGTAGAACTGGTAAGATACGATTAAACAACCTTATCAAATCAATAAGATACTATTGGGAGTTCACATGTAATGAAATCAACACAGTCCTAATTTATTGTTCGGTTTTATCACTTTTTACTAGGGTTAGCCCTTTAATATCAGTGATGCAAATACAGATTCTGTGTTCTGATGTATTTCTTCATTTCTGTCAGTAATCTTATTAAACCATTTACTGTATGGTAGGAACTTTTTACAATTTCTTATTTTTGTTATATACTGTAGAAACATTAATTTTCGTGGGGTTAGAATTTCGTGGTTTTGTCTCTATATAAAATTTCATGGGGATTTAATTTCGTGGTTTCCATTAAATGGAAGTGATATTATATGTAGGTTAAATTTTCGTGGTGGGTTTTAATTTCATGGATATATTCTTTCCATGAAATAAACGAAATTAAATCCTCCACGAAAATTTCTGCTGTTACAGTATACCTTTATATGCCACAAAAATGTATTTTAAAATTAACATAAATAGAATATAATTACCATGTGTAAAGTTCAAACTTGGGCTCATGTTGTATTTAGATGTACAGGTATTTATTTTCTTTCAATAAACTGATCTGTGTTCTCAGATAATGTATTGTAAAAGAAAATGATTGTAATGTTTAAAGAAATTAAATTGGTAAAAAGTACATATTTAGATGACAGACAGATTGCATAAGTTTTTTTTAGAAATAATGGTACAAAAAGAAACATACATTTGAGAGAGTCTAAATGTACTGGTTTCTAGCAATTCTTATGCAAATGCATATTAGAAGATGGGGATCTTCCACTTTGGATGTATAATAATTTGAAATTGAATTCTTCTGGCATACTAGTTCATAGAAAATATTTGAAATGAATGTAGTGCTGATTTACAAAATGTACATAATAACTAATAAATAATAGAATATATAACTTCTACAGGGCTCTGTCTGGCAGAGATTAGGAGCACAGGTCACTTGTGTGGAATTCTTAGGTCATGTAGGTGGTATGGGCATTGATATGGACATATCTAAAAATTTCCAGAGAATTTTACAAAAACAAGGACTTAAATTTAAACTTGATACCAAAGTCATGGGTGCTTCAATAGATGGAGACAATATCAAGGTTTCTGTTGAAGGTGTTAAAAACCAGAAGAAAGAAGAGGTAAGGTGTAATTATATTGAAATGGAAATATTTCATCAAGTGAAATTCATAGAAAATATTGCAATAATGGAAAACATGGGATATAAGAGGATATATAGATAAAATGTACTACAGATTATATTGCTTAGCAGTGCCATTTGTCATAATAAATTGCATAACCTCAGATGAAGAGTATGGATATTTAAGGGCTGCTGTTAGTTTTTCAAGCTAATCTCTATATGATTGCAGATGCTTCAAATTTCTATTGAGTTAATTGGAATGTACCTTATGTTTAAGAATGGATTTGACTTAAATTCCAAAACATGTCAATTTCAGATTGACTGTGATACATTACTGGTGTGTATAGGAAGACGACCCTATACAAGTAACATTGGTTTAGATACTGTTGGGTTACAGGCTGACAATAGAGGAAGGGTAGAAGTTAATGAGAGGTTTCAGACTTCTGTTCCTAGGTAGGTCAACACTTTTTTGTTACATACTAATAGTAGAACATGACGGATTCCTAACCAATGCACAGTTTGGTGTATATTTTTAAGAATCGTGTATACATAGAAAGAGAAAAAAACCAATAAGCTATATCAATGGGTACACCTAGAACAGTGCTAACCAAACGAAAATAAAGAATTATCTTTTGAGATAAGATATTGTCTAAAATGAATAACCAAAATATTTTGCTAAAAAGGTTCAATGTCTATAATAGTATATTTTTGAAAGCTGGAATACTACAGAATTGTAAGCATTTACTTCTCACAAATAGTTTCATCCTTCTTATATAAGAGAAGCAAAAGATACCAAATAGAGATTCAAACTCATAAGTTGAAAATAAACTGACAATTCATGGCAAAATAAGAAAAAGACTAAAAGACAAACAACAGTATACAAAACACAACATAGAAAACTTAAGATTGGTCTTATCAAGCAGAAGTGAAATTTGAGATCTTAAATGTGAATTACTATTATTACAATTGTCCATTTCAGTATTTTTGCTATTGGAGACTGTATTCATGGTCCTATGTTAGCTCATAAAGCTGAAGATGAAGGTCAGTATTAAAACATGACTATCAAAAAAAGTTGTCCAAAACATTGTTTTAAATTTATATTTCTTTAACATATTTGAAAATAAAAATGTCAAGTTTCATTGCAAATTAAATTTATATGAGAGCAAAATAAATAACAAAAATTAGCATTCCAAACTAAAATGAATATTTTTTTAAAGTCATTTAATGTGGTAAATAATGAACAAGGACTGATCTCTCTGTTCTTTAGATATTGAGGTTTGACAAGGGAGATAATAATGTAAAAAAAAAAAGAATAAAATTCACACACAAGCTATAATGGGATGTCCTCTGAATTCGACATAGAATTTTATAAGTTTTTTGTCAGTTAGTTTTTATATGACTGCAAAAAATTTTTGTGGTCGTATATTGGTATGACCTTGGCGTCATCGTCGTTGCAGTCGTTGTCCGAACACACATTGGTTTTCGCACTCTAACTTTTGTTTAAGTGAATGGATCTCTATGAAATTTTACCAAAAGGTTCAATACCACAAAAGGAAGGTTGGGATTGATTTTGGGGGTTATGGTACCAACAGTTAAGGAATTAGGGGCCAAAAAGGGGCCAAAAATAAGCATTTTTGTAACTTCCAGACATAACTTGTGTGTTAGTGTATGGATCTCTCTGACATTGTACCACAAGGTTCCATATCACACAGGGAATGCTGGGATTGATTTTGGGGGTAATTGATTCAAATAAATAGGAATTAGGGGCCAAAAAAGGGACAAAAAACAAGCATTTTTCTAGTCTCATGACAATAACTTGTGTGTTAGTGTATGGATCTTTCTGAAATTGTACTACAAGGTTCTATATCACAAAGGGAAAGCTGGAATTGAGTTTGGGGGTAATTGCCCAAAACGTTGAGGAATAAGGGGCCAAAAAGGGGCCAAAAATAAGCATTTTTCTGATTTCCAGACAATAACTTGCGTTCAAGTGTATGGATCTCTCTGAAATTGTACTGCAAGGTACCATACCACAAAGGGAAGGCGGGGATTGATTTTTTGGGGTAATTGCTTTAAAATTTTAGGAATTACGGGCCAAAAAAGGGGCAAAAAACAAACTTTTCTAGTTTCAGGACAATAACTTGTGTGTTAGTGTATGGATCTTTATGAAATTGTACTACAAGGTTCCATATCACAAAGGGAAAGCTGGGTTTGAGTTTGGGGGTAATTGCCCTAAATGTTTAGGAATTTGGGGCCAAAAAGGGGCCAAAAAACAAGCATTTTTCTAGTTTCCAGACAAAAACTTGTGTTCAAGTGTATGGATCTCTCTGAAATTGTACTGCAGGTACCATACCACAAAGGGAAGGCTGGGATTGAGTTTGGGGGTGATGAATCATAAGGCGGATCAAAAAATTGGGGGAGGGGGATTTTTTTTTTCTTTAAAATTTTCCATTTTAAATTGGTTATTTCTGATTTATATATAAAAGCAAATAATAATGATATGGTTTGAAAAGGTAAATTATAAATTCTTAAGTTCTTAGACCACATTCATTCTGTGTCAGAAACCTGTGCTGTGTCAAATATTTAATCACAATCAAAATTCAGTGCTGTATCAAGCTTGAATGTTGTGTCCATACTTGCCCAACTGTTCAGGGTTCGACCTCTGCGGTCGTATCAAGCTGCGCCCAGCGGAGCATTTTATTTATATCCTGCCTTTAAAAGAAATAAGCATGATGTTGTCTGGTTAGAGTGATTGTCCGTCATTTATCCCATATGAGGTTAAATTTTTGGTTTACGGTTCCGTTCCATGAAGTTGTGGTCACATTAGCTGCGGAACCGTAACTCTTATGGTCCTTTTTATATTTTTTTTTTGATTTTGCGGACCATAGTCTGCAAATAGTCAAAAAATAACATAAGGACCATAGTCCGCAAATAGTCAAAAAATAACATAAGGACCTAAGAGCTACGGTTCCGCAGCTATGGTCCGCAAATAGTCAAAAAATAACATAAGGACCTAAGAGCTCGGTTCCGCAGCTATGGTCACATCAGCTTGACAAATTAGGGTTTTTTCTACAGATGATTAGATTAAAGATATGGTTGAAGGTAGTTTACAATGAAGTTATGGTGACATCAAGTGGAAACTTAGTACATATCATCATTTTAAAAAATACTAACAAAAAGTTTTGATCCAGATTTTATGGTGCACTGAACATATAAATGTGATAATTTGAGTAGAGCAGATGTCCTATGGACACATATTCTTACATTTTTTTTTACATAATTAAATATTTGCTTATGTTTCAATTTTTTTTCTTCTAGTTTTCTTTTTATCAACAAATATTAATACTATATAAAACAATGTTTTTATATATATGATAGATATTCAATTAAAAATGTTTTTGCCATCTACTATCAATCAATTAGTCCTCAAATTATTTTTCAGGTATTTTATGTGTTGAGGGCATTTGTGGTGGAGCTGTACACTTAGACTATAATAACGTCCCATCAGTAATATATACTCATCCAGAGGTTGCTTGGGTTGGTAAAAATGAGGAGCAATTGAAAGAGGAGGTATATTAGTTTATATTGAAATAAGATGTGGTATGATTGCCAATGAGACAACTCTCCACAAGAGACCAAATGACACAGAAATTAACAACTATAGGTCACTGTACGACCTTCAACAATGAGTAAAACCCATACCGCATAGTCAGCTATAAAAGTCCCGAAAATGACAAATGTAAAACAATTTAAATGAGAAAACTAAGGGCCTGATATATGTACGAAATAATGAGCGAAAAATAAATATGATATACAGCAACAAATAACAACCACTGAATTACAGGATCCTGACTTGGGACAGGCACATACAGAATGTGTCTGGGTTAAACATGTTGGCATGCACCCAACCCTCCCCGTAACCTGGAACAGTGGTGTAACAGTACAACATATGAACAAACTATAAAAATCAGTTGAAAAGGGCTTAGCTCATCAGATCGATACAAAGCACAAAAACAAGTAACAAATACACAGAGTGGACGCAGCAGGGTACTTATACATCCCCACAACAAAAAGACTTTTAAATAAAGATCTGAGAGTACTCACAGTTACTGAAAGCTAGTTCGAAGCCAATAACAACTAATAAAAAAAAATCATGCATCTAAGGCTAAAATATCAATCAGTACACATGCAACATCCAATGGATTTAGTGTAAAGACGTCATTAACAGTCAAGAGAAAAACATGACCTTGTGCAATGCCAAGCTACAGGTATCGACAGATTGTAGAGCCATGAAAGTGCATATGTGTTTAAAAATAATATTTAGTTTGCTTTAAATTTAGTGATAACAAAATCAGTATTAATACCAATAAAAACAATATATCTAATTATAGTGTTGAATTGGTAATTCTGTATTGCTCATATTGTGTGCAGTTATTTTTATACGACCGCAAAAAAATTTTGTGGTCGTATATTGGTATGACGTTGGCGTCGTCGTCGTCGTCGTCATCGTCGTCCGGCGTCGTCGTCGTCGTCCGAATACATATTGGTTTTCGCACTCTAACTTTAGTTTAAGTGAATGGATCTTTTTGAAATTTGACCATAAGGTTAAATACCACAAAAGGAAGGTTGGGATTGATTTTGGGGGTTATGGTACCAACAGTTAAGGAATTAGGGGCCAAAAAGGGGCCAAAAATGAGCATTTTCTAGTTTCCAGACAATAACTGTGGAACGGTGTATGGATCTCTCTGAAATTATACTACAAGTTTCCATACCACAAAGGGATGGTTAGGATTTGCTTTGGGGGGTTATGGCTCAAACCGTTTAGGAATTAGGGGCAAAAAAGGGGGAAAAACAAGGTTGTCCTGGTTAATGGACAAATACTTTAGTACAAAACATAATTTAAAGCAGTGTAAGGGAGATAAATCAAATACATCATTGAAATTATCTCCCTTACACTGCTTTTAAATTATGTATAAAGTAATGGTTAATGAACAATAAAGATAATCTAAACAGTGTAAGGGAGGTAATCCAAATACAACGTTTTGGTTACTTCCCTTACACTGCTTTTAAATTATGTTTAAAGAAATGCATATTTATAAAGGAAGACCAGTAAAAATATCTGCAAATGTTTTCATCTTTTTTTTTTACAAAAAAATCCATATGAAAGATTTGACACTATATTTTTATTAATTCTATTATAAAATAGATTAAGTTAGCACTATGGTAAATTTAAATGGGTAATTATGGTTGCCAACTCCATTGGAAATTTGAATTGAGATTATGACCATATCTTGAGGGAAAGAATTTTTTTGGGGGAAAAAGGGGGGGGGGGGGGATAAAAAGAAATTGTGGGGGGCCAATTTTTTCTCATTTCAGATTTCAGAAATTAAAAAGAATTATTCTTCAAATATTATTTTTTTTTCAAATTTCAAATATTGAAAAATTTCAAGAAGTAATCTTTAATTGCACAGTATGGCGCATTAGATTTGTTAAATCTTTGATCACATTTATTTATTTGTTATGCCGAATCTAACAGTGTATTTAGATTTTTAATTTTGGGTCCAGTTTTCAAATTGGTCTACATTAATGTCCAAAGGGTCCAAAATTAAACTTTGTTTGATTTTAGCAAAAATTGAATATATGAGGTTCTTTGATATGCTGAATCTAAACATGTATTTAGATTTTTGATTTTTGGCCCAGTTTTCAAGTTTGTCCAAATTGGGGTCCAAAATTAAACTTTGTTTGATTTCAACAAAAATTGAATATATGGGGTTCTTTGATATGCTGAATCTAACCATGTATTTAGATTTTTTATTTGTGGACCCCGTTATCTAATTGGTTCATATTGAGGTCAAAAGGGTCCAAAATTAAACTTTGTTTGATTTCATCTAAAATTGAATTATTGGGGTTCTTTGATATTCCAAATCTAACCGTGTATTTAGGTTTTTAATTTTGGGTCCTGTTTTTTAAATTGGTCTACATTGAGGTCCAAAGGATCCAAAATTAAACTTAGTTTGATTTTGACAAAAATTGAATTCTTGGGGTTCTTTGATTTGCTGAATCTAAACATGTGTTTAGATTTTTGATTATGGGCCCAGTTTTCAAGTTGGTCCAAGATAGGGTCCAGTATTTAAACTTTGTTTGATTTCAACAAAAATTGAATATATGGGTTCTTTGATATGCTGAATCTAAACATGTATTTAGATTTTTGATTATGGGCCCAGTTTTCAAGTTGGTCCAAATTGGGGTCCAAAATTAAACTTTGTTTGATTTCAACAAAAATTGAATATATGAGGTTCTTTGATATGCTGAATCTAACCATGTATTTAGATTTTTTATTTGTAGGCCCCGCTATCAAATTGGTTCATATTGAGGTCAAAAGGGTCCAAAATTAAACTTTGTTTGATTTCATCAAAAATTGAATTATTGGGGTTCTTTGATATTCCAAATCTAACCGTGTATTTAGATTTTTAATTTTAATTCCCGTTTTTTAAATTGGTCTACATTGAGGTCCAAAGGGTCCAAAATTAAACTTAGTTTGATTTTAACAAAAATTGAATTCTTGGGGTTCTTTGATATGCTGAATCTAAACATGTGTTTAGATTTTTGATTATGGGCCCAGTTTTCAAGTTTGTCCAAGTTGGGGTCCAAAATTAAACTTTGTTTGATTTTAACAAAAATTGAATATATGGGGTTCTTTGATATGCTGAATCTAACCATGTATTTTGATTTTTGACATTGGACCATAATAGGTAAATTAAAAAAATTCAAGTTCTTAGACCACATTCTTTCTGTGTCAGAAACCTATGCTGTGTCAAATATTTAATAACAATCCAAATTCAGAGCTGTATCAAGCTTGAATGTTGTGTCCATACTTGCCCCAACTGTTCAGGGTTCGACCTCTGCGGTCGTATCAAGCTGCGCCCCAGCGAAGCATTTTATTTGTAAATTAAGTGTTAAAATCCATCAAAACACTTAGGTATTTTTTTACCCCTAAGTATAAATGGCCCCTGCCAAAAATCCATAAAAAACACCAATATATTTTGTATCACTCTAGGCATAGATGGCCTTTGCTATTTTGGAATATTTGGTTTTCAGTGTTTTTCAACTTTGCATGATTTGCCCTTTTAGATGTTTTGTTTCAAGCACCTCTGATCATTCTTAGGAAAGGAATGTCTGTTGTACTAAATTAAAAGCCTGTTTCTATTTTCTGTGAATTCTATTATATTTTATGGAACCAATTTTTGTGAATTTTGGAAGAATGATTTTGTGGTTTTCACAGATTCTTCATACAAGCCTAGAAGAAATACAAATTTTGATGAACACTTTTAATTAATTATTAAAGTTCACTGCCACACATATGGTAATATACATGACAATAAATACGCCACACAAATTATGAATTTGTTTATTTCAATTTTGTACCAATTTGCTGGTTTCAAAGACTTTTTATCAGATGTGTATTTAATAACTATCAAAGTTATCAGTAACATAGTTTGAAGTGTGGTTTTTAAATCCAACAAATTCCTTGAAAATCATTGCATCTTTAAATAAAAAATTGAATTGATAAGTTTATTTTGATGGAAAATTAGGTGTCTTTGTATTTTTTTGCTCCAAAAAGAAAATATATTGAAATATTATGTGAATTCAATTTCAAATACATTTTTAAAATACAAACTGGTCTTTTATCTAATACAGGGAGTAGAATATAAGGTTGGTAAATTCCCATTGGCAGCAAACAGCAGAGCTAAAACAAATGATGATACAGATGGTTTTGTAAAAGTATTAGCAGATAAATCAACAGACCGATTACTAGGATGTCATTTTATAGGATCTGTAAGTTTTATCTTCTTACACACCTTCAAACCACGTACATGGCAGGTGCAATTGACAATCTTTATGACTAGAGTTGTCACTTTTCCTGCCGTAGGTCATGGTTCTCTTCAGTTTTCTCCACCAAAAAAACTGGCCACCATGAAATAGCAAATAGTGCTGAATGTGGATTTAAACACCAAAAATCCATCCATCACTTACACACCATACATTAATAATGTAGAGTCAAACTTGACAATCTCTCAAGATTTGATCAGATACACAAAGAAAAATCTGTTGACCCCAGTTTTTAATATGAAAATAATGAGCTATGATTGCTAATTGGACAACTTTTCACAATTAGACCTAAGGGCAAGTATAGAAACAACCTCAGGTCACTGTACCTCCTTTAACAATGAACAAAACCAATATTATATTTAGTAAGCCCTCAAGAGCCCTTGATAACAAAATGTGAAACAAAACAAGAGAGAAAACTTGTGGCCTGATTTAGGCTAATAGCGTAAAACGAAAAAACAATTATGACATGGGCAACCAAGTTGAACCAACAACCACAATGACAACCACTGGACTACAGGCTCCTGGCTTAGAACATGCTCATAAAAAGAGTGCCAGGGTTAAACATGTTTGTGAGTGCTCAACCCTCCCCTAACATGTAACATAGGTGTTAATACATCACTGGAACAAATTGTAAACATCAGCTGGAAAGAGCTTGAGTCATCAGATTGTCAATATAAAGCACGAAATAAGCATGAAAACAAGGAGAAACTGTCCAAAAAACAGCACGTGCGTGTAACATTACAAGTTTACAAAATAGATCTCAGAGTTCAGCATATATCTTCAGCGATTGGCATATGACCAAACCCTTTCGGGAAAGCACAAAATTATCTTTAACAAGTAATAAATTAATGCATCACAGTCACAGACAGAACACCATTAAAATCCATCTTAAAAATTTACTGTATGTGTAAATCATTTTAATTTTTGAAATTTTTTTTTATAAGGTTGCTGGAGAACTAATAAATGAAGCTGTATTAGCTATGGAATATGGAGCATCGTGTGAAGATATTGCCAGAGTCTGTCATGCACATCCGGTAAGTCATTTATAAATAAAAGCTATGCCTGTGTATAGGTATGCTTAGTGGAAATGATAGTACAAAGCTTTTTATTTCAGTCTAGTCTGTTGTTGTTATTGATCTAATTTTCATGTTTCAATATTTATCTGAAATCTGCTTGTATGATTTATGATAAGGTTTTTTAGTGTTCTTGAAAGTTTAATATGTGTCATTGACATATTCAGTAATCATTAACAAGGCAAGAAATTTTAATGTTATCTCTCTTATTTTAAAAGAAAAAATAGTTGGTTAATATATTCAATAACACAATAACATACCATTCCTTCCCATATACAGAAGTTTCATAGTTTCTTGTTTTTGTAAAAAAAATATTAACCTCTAGTATCTTCTAAGCATGATCTTGAAATTAATCCACAGGTTTACAGAGAATTTTTCATCTCGGTGGCAACAATGGGGATTTCATAAAAATGTCAAAAATAAAAAGTCTGAGATTATTCAAATTGTTGTTGGGTATAGTTTAAAAGTTTGTAATTCAGTAAGTTCTTAAAACATTACTCTGTGGATTCACAGACTTTAAAATGTTTAAATATTAATTTAGTACCACACGGAAATAACTTGACCATATTAAAATTACTAACAAAGAATAATATTTACATATATATTTTTTTTCATTTGCAGACCAACCATAAATACCTAGTATATAAATATATACATGTATTTTTTTTCTTTAATTGCAGACCGTATCAGAAGCCCTTAGAGAAGCTAATTTGATGGCTTACTGTGGAAAACCTATCAACTTCTAAAATCTCATTAGACAATATTTTCGAATTTAGAAAACTATTGTTTCGTAAAACAGTATGAAATGATATTTGATGACAACACACAGCTTAAATCAGGTTCAACTTATCATCATAAGAGCTAGTACTATTACATCTACTGGATTCCATCCAAGTTCAACTAGGTTTTCCAATTGTGTGGGCTATTTGTTTCATTCATCACTGAGGATAATAACATTGTACCTTGATGCAGCATTCTGATATGAATTATGTGCCAAACTTTAGGAAATGATTTTTTTAACTCTTTTTGAAATGTAGATGATTTGAATTAAATTTTTGATAGCTGATTCTGTCTTCACTATCTTAAAGCTTGGCACATAATAAAAATACTTATATGCTATATGTTCCTATTGCTCTCTCTGCTCAAGTATAGAGTGTTAAATTATATAGTTATATAAAAGAAAATTGAAGGTTTATAGTAAAGCAGATTAGATTGTTTTTAGATGTTTCTAACAGTGTCATTATAAAGATGAAGTAAAGTTTTAAAATGTTTCAAATAATCCTATGCTGTATTAAAAAAGATCTGTCCCATTGAAGTGCTGTTAAGTTATTATATAATTTTGTATAGAGAATAAAACTAAAAAAAGCTATGTACAATTTATTTGTTTATTGTTAATTGAGAGATTTCAGTTGATGCTATGCAGAGTGAACACGAATCCTCAAGTAGACTCTTTGCATAGTTTGCTGCTATTTGATAATTGTATGGTGGATTAGAAGGCACTTAAATTTGTTGTGGTGTTTTTTCTGTAGACCAAGCTCCATTTAGCCGTTCAGATCGGAATAAAAGAAGATGTTGGATATAATTTAAATGAGACAGCAACCTTTGAAGAAAAACTCAAAAGACATCTAAAGGGCAGCATGTGGTCTTCAGCAACAAATGTTTCTATACAATATGTCAAGCTAAATATTGTCCAGAGGTTATAAATGTTTTACAGAAACAATCAAAAGATTTGCCATCAACACCCAATTCTGCAAATGAGAGAAAACATTAAGACCTGGCATACTACAGCTACTGATAAAGTTCCTGACTTATGACAGGCACATGCAAATATTGCAAGGTCAAGCTAGATCTTAACCCACCCCCTTTTAAATCTCAATCAGAAGATTAACAAAACGCACATAAAAACAAGTACAGTAAAAGCACTGAACTCTAAAACAGCAGTATAATAGATAAAAAAAAACATCAAAAAAGCAAATTATACCACATAGTTACATAGAGCAAGCTAAAAATACCTAAGCTACAGATTAAAAATCACGTCATCCTATACTTAATATTCACTGCTATACATCACAGAAGATTTCATACAACAGCATAGGAAGACATAATCTTGGAAAATGCACAAAACACGCAATACAGATAAAAAGAAATATTTAGTCTTGCATCAAATTAAAATTGAGCAAATTGATATTTATACAAAATTATAGGCTCTAAAGAGCCTGCATCGCTCACCTGCATCTTCAACAATGACCACTATTTAGTAAAAATCATCATTAAAGGCAAATAACTCTATTAAGAGTTAAATAGCAATTTCAGTCATGTTCATGATGTTGACATATTGGTAGATTTTATCCTTCTGATAATTTTTCCATTTAAAGTTTCTATTTATCTATCATAGTTTTCAAGATAATAGGCAAAAAATGCATAAAAATTATCATTAAAGGGCAATAACTCAAATAACGAGTCCACTAAAGATTTCATTCATTATGGCTTATCTGGTCTTGCTGATCATTTGTGCTATATAAAGTTTCTATTTATCTATTACAGTTTTCAAGATAATAGGCAAAAATGGGGAAAATTGCATTAAAGGGCAATAACTTCAATAAGGAGTCTACTAACGATTTTGTTTATGTGACTATTTTGTAAATCTTGTCTTGCTGTTCATTTTTGCTTTTTAAAGTTTCTTTCTATTTATTTTACTTATATATGTAATATAAATATTGTTTATACAAACAGGGATTCCAATTTACCAATATAATTAATGTTATGATAAGATGCTGACATCCTGGATACATTTAATTAACATAAACAGACCACTTGTTTTATCTAGAGGTTAATTTCTCTAGCACTTGACACTTTGAAGTTACAACTGGAATCTCACCAGGAGGCACACTAATCTTTTCTTATTCAGTTACATGTCACAAACAATCACTGTTGGTGAGGAAATGCAGAATATGATACCGTTTCTTAAAATCAATTTCACAAAAAATAGTTTATTATCTGAAAGTCAGTCTCCTCCCCTGGTATGATTTATGAACCCAATCTGTGTGTTATGCCATACGCATTGTCTTTGTATAATGAGTTCTTGGTTCATAGCAGTCTGACTAGTTGATATAGTTTTCCAGTGCTCTTTTTCAATTTACCACCCACCATCCCCTTCCTAACACCCTAAATAATGTTTCATGACACGGGAAACATCTCAGGTTTTACTAGTGATATATATTTTTCTTTTAATTATTTTTCTTCATGGGCTAACCAGAGCAGACCTTGCACATCCCAGCTGCAGATGAGGCACCTAGTCTCATCCCCTCGTAGAGACCCTTCACTCCACATCCTCTGGCTGGTGCATTGTCCAGCAGGCAGGTTCTTCCTCACACTGAAGGTTGCAAGCTAACTTGCTCAGGCTGGAACTCAATGTTTTATTTGTATGCTGAGTGTTTCTCAAGGGCCAAAACCAGTTTGATTTTAGTGTTATCAATAATAGAATTATTATTCATTCTAACATATCTTTCTGCTTTACAGCTCTTCTATTAAAGCATGCAAAGCAAACCTTTGATCAACTTGCTTGCTATGTGTACTTGGATGTTTGCAAACAATAGGTAGGCGGAGTTTCAGTCTGTTTTGTATATACTGGAATTTGATTAGACAATAAAATTTGACATGCAATGAAGTTAATGTTTATTGTCCAATCAAATTACAGTATATAGTTAACAGACTGAAACAGACTACCTACCTTTTGTTTACAAACATCCAAACAAACATAGCAAGCAAGTTGATCAAAGGTTTGCTTTGCATGCTTTTATAGAAGAGCTGTAAACCAGTATGATTTGCTGATACTATGTTTTGGTTTACACACAGAAACCCCTTATGTAAAACATGCTTTAGTTTTTTTGGAGCCTGTATTTGGTCTACCATGCTCAATTATGTGAGTATTTGTCTTGACTTAAATTGAGATTTGCTCTATCAGGAGACGTTTACTAAATATAGAACTTCTGGGCTTATCAATACTAAAAGAACATAATTTACCTCAGATTATATCTGTTAAAATACAGGTTGACCACAACAGTTACAAAATAATTAAACGCTCTCTTACTAAAACTACAGAAACAATATTCATACAATGAGACTTCAGAAAATATACAATATGAGACTACATGTACAAGGAAAATACAATATAAACTACAAGAGAAATACAATATTATCTGAAAGACAACAGAATACAACACCCAGTTTGTATTAAATAGTTTTTCAGATATTCGGCAATAATCAAAAAAAAATTAGTAAAAATCGTCATTAAAGGGCAATAACCGTAATAAGGAGTTGTCTGAACATTTTGGTCATGTTTGACTTATTTGTAGATCTTGTCTTGCTGGTCATTTTTGCCTCTTAAAGTTTCTGTCTATCTATTATAGTTTTCAAGATAATAGACAAAAAATTTTAAAAATGTTAAAATTCGTCATTTAAGGGCAATATCTCCTATAAGAAGTTGTCTGACAGTTTTGACATATATGGGCAATAGGTACAGCTCAACATTTTGAACAGTAAAGCCCTTTGTCAGATATTCTCTATTTATTGCGGTTTTCGAAATAATAGGTAAAACTTGCATTTTACCCCTATGTTCTATTTTTAGCCATGTCGGCCATCTTGGTTGGCAGGTGTGGTCAAAGGACACATTTTTTAAACTAGACACCCCAATGATGATTGTGGCCAAGTTTGGTTAAATTTGGCCCTGTAAATTCAGAGGAGAAAATTTGGTAAAAGTTAACAGACGACGACGGACGACAAGGTCAGACACCAAGTGATGAGAAAAGATCACTTGGCCCTTTGGGCCAGGTGAGCTAAAAATATGAGATGGAGCAATTGAATAACAAGTTTAATTATAACCTATATCATTTCATCTATTCACCCAAAGAGACAGAGTTGAAGAATTCCTTAACTTGTTTGCTTTATATATAATGTAAATAAAAACCTGGATGCAAAATACTGCTTTTTATTAAAAACCTGCACTTGGAATCAGACTTCCATAATATATCAAAAATAAGGAATAAATGGATACAGTATGTTTCCACTAGAATACCAATCACTTGTTGGTATTCTTCATCTCTAAAATATAATCCAGCAAATTTAAATTTACAGCTTTTCTATAAAAGCATGCAATACAAACCTTTGACCAACTTGCTTGCTATGTTTGTTTGGATGTTTGTAAACAACAGGTAGGTAGTCTATTTCAGTCTGTTTACTATATACTAGAATTTGATTCGACAATAAACATTAACTTCATTTAAATGTTAAGTTTCACATTGTATGTCAATTTTTATTGTCCAATCAAATACCAGTATATATTAAACAGACTGAAACTCCGCCTACCCTTTTGTTTACAAAGATCCAAGCAAACATAGCAAGCAAGTCAATCAAAGGTTTGCTTTGCATGCTTTTATAGATAAGCTGTAATGGATTTTATTTCTTTGCATTGTGTACTTTTTGCAAGTTTTATTCCTGAAAAAAGGAATTGTAATGTTTGCATCATATATAGATCCACCAATATCTTTTAATAGACCATTTAATTCAGGAAAACTTCTCATTAATAGAATTGTGTGGAAGTGGCGTAGTGTAGTATAAAGGGTATAAAATTTGTAACTGTCAATGTTTGCAAACTGACCTCTAATGGATTGTAGCTTACCTGGTATACAAGACTTTCAAAGAGTTTTAACACTCAAGAAACATACAGATTACTGTAATATTATTATTACATATCATCCCCAAATTAATTTTTAATCATGTCTCAATTGTGAAAAATTAAACCACTCATAAAATTTTTATATATGCCATCAAGTATTGGTTTAGATATATTGATGCTGACATTTGACATGTGACAAACTTTTTTTCTCACAATTTTTATATCTAATACTGTAACATTATAAATGATCCATGAAAATGAGGTCAAGGTCATCTGAACCCTGACAGATAGACATGTACACCTTATAATCATTCCACACACCCAATATAGTTGACCTATTGCTTATAGTATCTGAGATATGAACTTGAACACATAAATTTAATCTTGATCACTGATCCATAAAATGAGGTAGAGGTCATGTGAACCCTGTCTGACAGACATGTACCAAATATAGTTATCCTTTTACTCAAATAAGTGAGTATTTCACATGACAAAAAACTATAATTTTTTTTCTCAAGCAGTCACTGAACCATGAAAATTAGGTCAAGGACAATAGACATATGACAGACAGAAAGTTCGTAACATAAGGCATATAAGGTATAAAGCATCCAGGTCTTCTACCTTCTGAAATATAATGTTTATATAAATAGTTCATGCAGTCGCCGCTGGATTGTAATCCCAATGCCTGGCAAATAATCTTGTGGCTTTCGTCGCAGACTTGACAAAAAGCCAGAAGATTATTTGCCAGGCAGATACTGTTACATTTTACAGTTATATGTATGTGAGTAGTAAATTCAACAGTGAAGATGAAGAACAGCAATAAAAGTATTGTATCTTTACTGCATTAATTTATCTCCTAGTAATTCAATAGATTTTAACATCACATACAACCAATATTCTTTTTTTGTATTCACCTAGTAATAGTATTTCACTTTCTAACATGTATTTTCATCAACTTAAAAACACTTTTTATCTTGAACCAAACGACTCTTACCGAATTATATTAGTATTAATCCTTTAGCAGTTTCACACCCAATGTAAAGGGATGGACAGGGTAAATTTACATCTAACTGCAATCCATTTCATTCAAGAGATGGACATACAGACTAGAATGAATTCCAAGAAAATGCTTTGAACAGTTAACAAACAATTTATTGATATATATTAACTAACAAATCTTTAAAAACTTACACTAGCACTTTCTTCAAAATATACAATCAATACATCAGTATTCTATAATATCACAAACTGTGTATACACATGTATACTAAAAATAAATATTTAATTTTATCATGAAACATGTTTACAGCATTCTTTATCACCTAATTGTGCATTATAATAATCACTTAAAATATTGAGTGCATTATTTATGGTAATTTAATTCTAAGTAGTACCGGTAAGTTAGTATGATGTACATTTAATGCTGCTATTTGAACATCAGCTGTACATATGTCATATATGGATTGGGACAGTGGGCCGATGGTTATATTATGATACATTATCACATCACCATTATCAACAGAGAGCATTTTGAAAAAAATATCAAGATTTGGTTCCAATAAAATGCCTTAAAATCTTAAAATAATTCAGAATAATAACATCATCAATCTACTTCTAAAGTGTTTTAAAATTGAACAAATGGCTTTTTTTTCAGATTTGCAATAAAATAAATAATGTTTTTATACACTTGAATATAAAATTGAAAATGGAAATGGGGAATGTGTCAAAGAGACAACCTAACCATAGAGCAGACAACAGCCGAAGGCCACAATGGGTCTTCAATGCAGCAAGAAACTCCCACACCCGGAGGCGTCCTTCAGCTGGCAGTTCACTTAAGTCATTGGAGGCCAAATGGCAGTGATAGACCATTAAGTGCAACATGCTGATTTTTTTTAAATATAAAAATCCAAAAATTTTGGAATAATATGTGGAAGGATGTTTGGATTTATCTAAATCTAAATCTAAATTATAAACATGGTGGGACTGAAATATAAGACAGTCAAAATATAACAAATTGTAATTCAAATTTTATAACTGCTTCCATCGAACTGAAAGAAAAATTTTGAGTGATTTATCACCTTGAAAATATGAACATGAAAGGGATGCCTTTACTGTATGATTTAGAGCCTCTGTCACAACAAAAATGGGATAATGCTCCTTCAAGTATTATCAAATGATACAATTCCTAAGTGGAAATTTCAATAAATTGCAATATTTACAGAAAAGATACCCAAAATTGGTAAAGTTGCTATTCAAACCATGACTAGTCTCAGTAGGGCCCATCACATTTGGACGGTTATTATGCAATAAAATTATATATTTTGAAATTAAACCATTATACATGTAATATGAACCTTTTTTGTCTTCAAATAGTTTGAACAAATCAAGTTGCTTTTATACATATGAGCTGCATAGGATAGAAATCGACCTTATGCAAGTGCATGTATACATGTACATGTATAAGACTTTTGATAATGTTGGAACATTCAAATACAAAATAAAAGATAAATTTTTGTCTATTTTGTAGGGTTCATATAACAACTTAATTTTCAAACAGTTACAGACTTTGCATATTGATTTTTTCAACCTGAAATAGGTAAACATATGTATTGATACTCATTTGCATAAAGTGGATTTCTATCAGACGCAGCTCATATGTTAAAAAAATTTAAAGAGGTAAATTAGTAAAAAGTGCAAAAACTTTGTAAAACTTAAAACAACTTTTTTTTTGAATTTGTTTAAAAACATGTATGAATATTAACTTGGAAAATAGATAATAAAAGAAAGTTGTATCGTTACAAAAATTTTAAGCACTATTTGGAAACAACGATTTACTTATTTCCTAAATGAAATAAAGACAAACGTTCGTGCATCTGAAGTGCTTTTCTGCATTTACCTTCATCAGGAAAGCTCAAACATAAACATCTGAAAGGTATGCATAAATACACTGAAATGTAAGGAGCTATATGACCAAAAAAGGGCCTAAACAGAATATAACTCTATTGAGGAAAAAAATAAAAAATAACAAAAATGAAATAAGCAATCATAATTTATCAATAGAGAAAGCAAGGCATTTGAAAATTCTTTGAGAAAAAGACTATTTTCCTCCTTCTTTAATACAAAAAAATGCAATTAAGGTGGTACATAACACTACAGGGAGATAACTCTTTAAAAATCAGCTGAACGTTTTAATCACATCCTATTGCTAAGGAAATATAAAGCTTCTCAATGATCAAAATTAGTGTTTGTCAAACTGCTATATATCCAATGAAATTTTTCCAATAAAGTATGTGGTTCAAGTTTTTTGAAATTTTTATATTTTTGTCAAAGGGTCAAAGTAAATATTTTTTCAAAATTTTATGAAAATTAAACGAGCCAAATTAATTTTAGTCCATGTGTTTGGTACCACCTTAATACTTCTAAGTTAATGTTTCTTCTATACAAAAAGTTTGACAATTAATGTTACATACTGTGCAAACTTAATGTTGCTTCCAAACATATTGTGCAAATTAAATGTTACTTCTAAACTTAATGGTTGACATTCAATGTTACTTCTAAACATTCAACTTAATTGAAAACTTTAGTTATTTTCTATCTTAAGAAATTCATGTTATGCAACTGACATGATCGCACTAAAAAACTAGGTCATTTTTTTTTCTTCAGATAAATTATTAAACATATTATAGCACTATAGCTCTATCATAAAAAAAAATATCTACATATTCAATTCTAAGTTATAAGAATGAATTTTATAGTAAATATTGCAGTATTACTGTAATATAATACATGTGTATAAAGTTTTAGCAATGGTTTCAAATGGTAAATGCAATGATGACTTTTTAAAGGTTGGTTTTAACTCATAAGAAAGAAAGTTTTATTTACACATAGCATTCCCCTTCTGAGGCCTCAGGTCTCCTTTGGAGCTGTTGCCAAGTAAAATTGTTTTTCTGTGAGAACTGGTTTGTTATGACATTTAAGTTAACATTTACATCACCATCAGTTTCTATTGATAAAGCTGTACCAAAGTCATTGATTAAAGAATTTTCACTTTCAGAAATGTCTCCTTCGAAAGGTCTTTGATCAGGTTCGATTAATTCTCCTACAACTTTTCCATTCTCATCGCTCATTTCTCTGGCAATACTTTGATAGTTATCACATTTCTGTCTGTGGGCATCCAGTTTATCTCCGTGATCATAATTTCTATTTGTTTCCATGTTTTGAATGGGAGTATCAAGATTTTCGTCCATTTGACTGAACAACAGATTTGAATCATATTGTTCTTCATTTTGATCATTATATATATAAACAGAATTTTGGCTTTGTACATTATCATTGTTCACAAGAGTGTTATCTTCGTCGTCATCTTCTTCTTCGTTTTCACACACAGATTCATCACTATATTGTGTGGCAAACATCAACTGCTGCTGAAATCGTGCAAAGAAATCGTCTCTAGATTTAGTAAACTTTTCCTTCACTACTGGGTCTTCTTCAGAAACTAATTTCAGATTTTCTAATCGTCTATCTTCACGGTCCATTCGTTCTTGCTCCAAATCAAGTTCTCCTTCACATTCTGGCTGATGATCATCAAGTTGCTGAAGCGATTCCACATTTTCACATTCAAAAGATGGTTCTGTGGTTTCATTTGCATTGTTTTCTTCAATATTTGTAACTTCATCATTATTTTCATATGTGTTTTCCTCAATTTGAATATCTTCCTGGTTTTCCTCAACAACGACCATTTCCTTAGTTCCATTGAATTCCTCTTCATACTTTTTTATCTCTGCTAATTTCTGTTGTACTTGAAGTTCCGTTGCAACAGTACCAGGAACTCTATGATCATATCCCATCTGCAGTAGTAAAGATTCTGGTATAGGTTGACCTGGAGGGATTTGAGACAACATGGATGCCAAATGAGGATCAAGACTAGATGGATCAACAAACACACATCCACCGTGAGAACTGGCATCCACTAGATTTGAATACTGCATAGTTGTTTGCTCAATTGTGTTGACTGAATCACAGACTGAAAAAAATATAACAATAATTAAGTCAGATTGTTTGATTTAAGCTTTATTACACCACTCCAAATGAAATTTTCCATTTTTTTTCATTCACTGTCACATAAAATCTGAAGGAAAAATCAATTTACTTAGACTAAGTCACTTTATCACTAAAATATGGGAACAAAAAAATAATTTCAAAATTCTGCTATGTACACTGTATTTTGATCAGAAAAAAGATTTATTGTGTCCAAATTTTGTAAAATTCCAATATGGTTTGACAAAGTTATTGAAAAAAACTTCAACAACAGATTGAACCTAAAATATTGGCAACACCGCTGACACTGACTAGACGACAAAATGTAATCACTTGACAACATACCTACCATGCAAGACAAAAATGATAGCAAGACAAATATAAAGCGTTTTTGAGTTAATGTCTGACATGTTGACAACGGACGGACAACAGTATACCATAATACGTTCTGTAAAAGGGCGTATAATGATACAGTGATATAAATAAGTGATCCCTTCTTTGCAAGACCTTTCCTCTTACAATGGCAATCTAAAGAGATACAATACACCTAAAAAAGACCAGCAGGGATCCTTAATAAAAGGACAGGTGGGATATTTGAACACTTCAGTGCTATAAAACTGCTACTATTCTTTCTTACCTCCATTTCTTCTATCAAAACTATTCATGAAATCCTCCTCCAATTTTTCTAAATCTGTAAATGCCTACAAATGTATATCAAACTCTTTTATACCATTTTCATTACATTAAATATTTTTTGTTTTTACTGTTATGTAAACTAATTGTACTAAAACTTATCTGTATATTTGAATTTGTAGGTTTTTTTTTTTTTTTTTTTAAAGTATTGTGTTTACAGACTTAATTTCCAAATTTTTACAAAACTCTAAATTATCAGTAAAAATCAACTATGAGTACATACTAATTTCTATCAATTGTACAAGTGTTTACACATTGTTAACGGAACTTTTAACAATCTGATATTAAGTCTTACTCAGTATGAAACAAAATAAATCTCTAGACAATATAAAGGCCTTCTATTATTTTAAATTTTTGCCTAAGTTTATAATACACTTAAATAATACAATTATAAAATTGAGAATGGAAACAGGGAATGTGTCAGAGACAACAACTCGACCAAAGAGCAGAAAACAGCTCAAGGCCACCAGTGGGTCTTCAACACAGCGAGAAAATCCGGAACCCGGAGACAGGCTTCAGCTGGCTCCTAAACAAAAATGTACACTGGTTAAGAGAAAATGGAAGTCAAAATAAACTCCGAAACATATAAATAAACCAAAATTATAAAAACATACAAGACTAACAAAGTACAGAGGTTCTTGACTTGGGACAGGTGCAAAAATGTGGCGAGGATAAACGTTTTGTGATATCTCAACCCTCCCTTATACCTCTAGCCAATGTAGAATAAACAAACACACAGCAAATTATGCACACTTTGTCCCACCACGCATATCCCAACTTATAATTCAAACTATCCAAAAACAGGAAGTAGGTGTCTGACATATCTCAAAACTATTGAGCTACAGTCTAAATAATAAAATCATTCTGTTCAGTAGTTTTGAGAAAAGAATCTATTTTCATTCTTTTAAAATATAAGCACACAAAAAGTAGGAATCCTATAGATATGTTCAACATCCCCTGAATGTTGGTTAAGACCCATCAAAGACTTCTACGGTTTTGCAACAATGAAATTGCCTTTTTGATTAAATGATTCAGTAGGATTAAGATTCATACCACTTACCATTTTCATTTCTGGTCGACCTTTCTTTAATTTGGATGTGCACGCCTGTGCCAGTTTAAACACAGAATTGTACAAATCCTGAGGAATATTTTTATCATTTGGATCGCACATGTTGTAAAATTTCTCTTCATTATCACCAACCATTTCAATCATATACTCAACCTTAAAAAAGAATTTTAAATTATACATATTGACATACTGTAATGAGAAAAATAAAATGAAATTATATTTGTTCTTAACATTTTTTCATATGGCAGAAAACTGTACTTATCATTGCTTCGGTATAAAACCTTGAACCATCCTTAACATGCAAGCAATATTCACTTCTTGATGTTCAACAACCATCAATTTATCAGTATAAGCTTGACAATTATGTCCAAAGCATACTCTGAAATCTGTCTCAACTTTACCCCTTTGAAACGGATTTTTTTTGTGTTTGTTTACTTAGAACCTGTTTGGTTTAGTCAGTTTTCACAGTGACTGTTAATCATCACTGATCATGTAAAAAATACAGTTTGTGTGTCATTTAAAATTCTTATCAACCATTCATGTGTCTGATGAGTATACAAAAATACACCAATCATGTGTAAATAGTTCATGGATGCATCAGAGCTTTTTCATTTCTGCATCAGTGCTTTTTCATTTCTGACAATTTTCTTTCACACATATTCAGTGAGAGCAAATGATTGAATGTATGAATGTGAATCTTGCTTTGCAATTGAAAAACACATTACTTCATATTTCTTATGTGCTCTTGAGCCAAATAGGCTTTGCTCATACTTCTAAAGCAAATAAGCATCAAATAAGAATAACAGTTCGTAAATATTGAGTGTTACCTGGCTGGGATCCAACCAAAAACTCCCATCACTAGAGGTTAAAGTTTTACCACATGACCACAGAGGCAACTCAAAAAATGAACTTTTAAACAGCCAGTGACAACAAGTCATAATAAAACATGTTTTAGGAGTCAGGAGTCAGGAGCCAGTATTTCAGTGGTTGTCGTTTGTTGCTGTTTATAATATTTGTTTTTTCGATTATTGTTTTATAGATAAATCAGGCTGTTAGTTTTCTCGTTTGAATTGTTTTACATTTGCCATTTGAGGGCCTTTTAAAGCTTGCTATGAGGTATGGGTTTTGCTCATTGTTGAACGTTGTACGGTGACCTATAGTTGTTAACTTCTACACCATTTGATCTATGGACGTAGATTCATTGACAATCATACCACATCTTCTTAATTTCATATTGTTACCATGGAACTTCACATCTTTCGTTGTATTTAAGTGAAAAAAGTATGTATTTTTCCGCCTTTTATACATTTTTGATTCGACACATAATATAACTACTTACCAAAAATTTATTGTCAGTTCCTTCCCTTCTTTCATCATAAGATTTCTCCCCCGTACAGACTTCATAAATTACCTAATATTAAACAAAATTATATTTGTAAAAACAAAGTTGTAGAGTATTACAAAACAGACTAATAAGAAGAAACTACATGTACATAATATAAGCACTGAGGTCAATTTAAGTAAAATGAGAACATCTCTTTTATTACACTAATTTAATAGGTTGTGTTTAAGGAGCTAAAATTCTATCCTAATAAAATTTTCTGATTTTTTATTTCTAAAAAAAGGACTGCATTTATAAATTCTATTCATATACAAAAATGTACTTACTACACCATATGAATATGTATCCCCTTTGACAGACATTTTAGACCCTCTTTGAGCCTCAGGTGGCAGATATGCTCTGGTCTGATACTGTTTAGTATCAGCTTGTTTCTTTGTGATATGTGTCAGTAGACCAGTCTCAGAACCAGTTGTGGCATGCTGAGCCATCCCTAAATCTGATATTTTGGCTTCAAAGTTGCTGTCTAATAGGATGTTCCCACTGAAAAATATATCAATTCTGGTCAATTTAAAACAAAAATAGAAAATTAGCCAGTCAAAAATAAATTTTATAAGTCATAACCTGAAAATATGACCATTTTAGAAGACATGGGAATATAGTTCACATGATCTTCTTGTCAAACAAAGTTGGACTTTATCGTCAAACGTTCGTTTTTCGCTACCATTAGCATCAAATGAGCCTTAATTTTGTTAAATCTCATTTTGTAGCTATTGTTAGTATCAAATGGAGTAAAATGTTTATCGTTAACATTATTTTAACAAATATTTCATCGTCATTCGTCATGTGGGGTACCCCGTTCCTACCCACGTTTATGAGGGTTACTCCAATAGTTTCTTCCTCAAATTTGTTGAGTCAAAAACTGAAAATTGGAGTAATCAGAATTCCCAAAACCAATACAATGTACCATGTTATTGAACCATACAGACAAAAATAATAATGCTCTCATACAGTAATAATCAAATTCATCATATGGTTACCTTTTAATGTCCCCACGTATGAGTGGTGTATCTGTTAATGTACGGTATGTAGAATTTACCTTTTAATGTCCCCATGTATGAGTGGTGTATCTGTTAATGTACGGTATGTAGAATTTACCTTTTGATGTCCCCATGTATGAGTGGTGTATCTGTTAATGTACGGTATGTAGAATTTACCTTTTAAGGTCCCCATGTATGAGTGGTGTATCTGTAAATGTATGCACAATTTACCTTTTAATGTCCCCATGTATGAGTGGTGTATCTGTTAATGTATGTAGAATTTACCTTTTAATGTCCCCATGTATGAGTGGTGTATCTGTTAATGTATGTAGAATAAACCTTTTAATGTCCCCATGTATGAGAGGTGTATCTGTTAATGTATGTAGAATTTACCTTTTAATGTTCCCATGTATGAGTGGTGTATCTGTTAATGTATGTAGAATAAACCTTTTAATGTCCCCATGTATGAGAGGTGTATCTGTTAATGTATGTAGAATAAACCTTTTAATGTCCCCATGTATGAGTGGTGTAACTGTTAATGTATGTAGAATTTACCTTTTAATGTCCCCATGTATGAGTGGTGTATCTGTTAATGTATGTAGAAACTGTAAACCACAGGCAGCTCCTCTCAGGATTCCTAGTCTTTGTTTCCATGTTAATGCAGGGGTATTGTCCTAAAATTATAGTTCAATGTCAGGTTAAATTAATCTAATGATGCTTGAAGACCCATTGGTGGCCTTGGGCTGTTTTCTGCTCTTTGGTCATTACCATTTTGTTGTCTCTTTGATACATTCCCCATTTCCATTCTCATTTTTATTCAACATATAATATCTTTACTTTCTGCTAAAAAGGTTTTCTGAATCATTATCTTTGTAGAAAACAAATGCAATAGCAAAAACTTTTTTTTTTTTTAAATATTTTAAAATCAATTTACTGCTTTAAAATTTATTATAGATCTCAATAAAACTTTGTTCACCAATTTTTTAAATTTTTAAATCAATCTATATAAACTTTATAAACGATGTAAACCCTATAAAATAACTAATGATTGATTTAAGGTTAGGATTTCCACAAGCTACTGGAAAACTGAGAATTTAAAAGTAAATGGTCTGTGATAAGTATTTTTTCTTACAAAACTTAATAAGAAAACTTAAAAAATCACATTATTAGTGAAAAAATTCTAAATTCACTGGAGTATGCAATTTTAACACATCAGATAAGTGTTTATGGCCATATATTTTCAATATATCACAAAATCTGTGAAAAACCTTTTTTCTTGTGACATAAAGAAACAGGAACCTAATATTCGTAGCTTTTAATTTCATCAGGTCATAAGTATTCATCCACTATAAAAGTAGGTAATATTGCATAAAAATTGACATCAAAACAAAAAAATTGAATATCTTAAAGCACAAAAATTCATATTAGAATTTTGTAGGTGTAAGAACCCTTGAACTAAATGCAGAAGCTAAATCTGCTTCATGAACAACTTTTGGGTGCAAGCAGGATGCATAATTATATACAAATAAAGTCATCTGTCACATCCTTTATTCATCATTAAAGCTGTGAATTACACTTTCTTAGTTTAACAAAAGAACTATATAAACATAATTTTACCTTTAAGGTTTAAGTGAAATAGGATATTTTCAATGCAGATATCTGGTTTTGATACAAAAAAAAATACAGATAACTGCCATTCTTAAAGTCTGATTGGACATGTTGGAACCTCAATACAAAAATACCTACCTTACAGGTTGTTCTGTTCTCTCAAGAAAAAAAAGCAGACAGACATCTAAATCTACCATGGATATGTATCAATGCTAAATTTATGGAGATATCTACCTTAACTTACATACCAGACAAATATCAAATATGGGGTTTGGTAGCCACTGTGGCAGAGTGGTCTAAAAGTTCAAATACTAAATCACTAGCCTGTCAATACTGAGGTTATGAGTTCCAACCATGCATGTGGCAGGTGAGTTCGATTGACTAGGACAGTCAGTTTTCCTGCCAATGGTTGTGGTTCTATTTTGGCATTCTGGCTTCCTCCATCAGTAAAAAACTAACCACCACAAAATAGCTAATAGTGCTTAAAATGGTGTTAAACACCACAATTATCAATCAATCAATATGGGGCCAATACTTACAGAGTCACCTACCTTACATGTTAAAACAGAGTCAGAAGATACCAAAGGGACAATAACAAATTCAGCAGTTTTCTAGAATAACAATAGACATTAACTGATACTTATACTCTGATAAATACATGTGACTGGTCAATCACTAGAGTTACATACCTTGCATGCTATTCTATCTTCCAGAGAACCATAAGCCATCAACTGATACTTATACTCTGATAAATACATGTGACTGGTCAATCACTAGAGTTACATACCTTGCATGCTATTCTATCTTCCAGAGAACCATTAGACATCAACTGATACTTATACTCTGATAAATACATGTGACTGGTCAATCACTAGAGTTACATACCTTGCATGCTATTCTATCTTCCAGAGAACCATTAGGCATCAACTGATACTTATACTCTGATAAATACATGTGACTGGTCAATCACTAGAGTTACATACCTTGCATGCTATTCTATCTTCCAGAGAACCATTAGGCATCAACTGATACTGATACTCTGATAAATACATGTGACTGGTCAATCACTAGAGTTACATACCTTGCATGCTATTCTATCTTCCAGAGAACCATTAGGCATCAACTGATACTGATACTCTGATAAATACATGTGACTGGTCAATCACTAGAGTTACATACCTTGCATGCTATTCTATCTTCCAGAGAACCATTAGGCATCAACTGATACTGATACTCTGATAAATACATGTGACTGGTCAATCACTAGAGTTACATACCTTGCATGCTATTCTATCTTCCAGAGAACCATTAGGCATCAACTGATACTGATACTCTGATAAATACATGTGACTGGTCAATCACTAGAGTTACATACCTTGCATGCTATTCTATCTTCCAGAGAACCATTAGGCATCAACTGATACTGATACTCTGATAAATACATGTGACTGGTCAATCACTAGAGTTACATACCTTGCATGCTATTCTATCTTCCAGAGAACCATTAGGCATCAACTGATACTGATACTCTGATAAATACATGTGACTGGTCAATCACTAGAGTTACATACCTTGCATGCTATTCTATCTTCCAGAGAACCATTAGGCATCAACTGATACTGATACTCTGATAAATACATGTGACTGGTCAATCACTAGAGTTACATACCTTGCATGCTATTCTATCTTCCAGAGAACCATTAGGCATCAACTGATACTGATACTCTGATAAATACATGTGACTGGTCAATCACTAGAGTTACATACCTTGCATGCTATTCTATCTTCCAGAGAACCATTAGGCATCAACTGATACTGATACTCTGATAAATACATGTGACTGGTCAATCACTAGAGTTACATACCTTGCATGCTATTCTATCTTCCAGAGAACCATTAGGCATCAACTGATACTGATACTCTGATAAATACATGTGACTGGTCAATCACTAGAGTTACATACCTTGCATGCTATTCTATCTTCCAGAGAACCATTAGGCATCAACTGATACTGATACTCTGATAAATACATGTGACTGGTCAATCACTAGAGTTACATACCTTGCATGCTATTCTATCTTCCAGAGAACCATTAGGCATCAACTGATACTGATACTCTGATAAATACATGTGACTGGTCAATCACTAGAGTTACATACCTTGCATGCTATTCTATCTTCCAGAGAACCATTAGGCATCAACTGATATACAAGACAAACATCAGCCATGGAGACATCAGGTTGGTCAATCATATAGCCATACAGCAACACTATATTGTTGTGTCTATACCTAAAATAGACAATTTTAACATTTTTTTATTTTTGTTTTACTTTGTAAAACGAATTTCTCATGATCAAACACAAGAATTTCATATGAAAGCAGAAATTCTAAAGCTTTCTAGCTTATTACTTTGTTCTATACTATACATTCTCTTGCACTCAGTACATAATTGAAGTTAGAAATAAAACGAGAAACAAGATAATACTGAACGTAACATCAATTATTACACTTATCGTTCAGGGAGACATTGTTGAAAACAAACCTCACCCCTAACAAAAAAAAAGGAAAACAAAACACACCTAACAAAAAAATCTGTAAAACATTTAATAATGAAGACACAGTTATGTCTGACCTTGTTTCGGTTGTGTTTGTTAAATCTTAAATTTTCAAGGTGAAGTGTTTGTTTCATGCATAAATAACAAGTATGCATGTTCATTCTTTAAAATTTCATACAAATATATATCAAAGAATCTTATCCTTATACTGGTTATTCTAAATTTGTATTTATTATTTTCCAACAAGAAAATCATCCACTCCAGCTAAAATAAGGAGAGAAAAAGACACTTGCAGAACATAAGGAAGTAGAATTTTTTACAAACGTGAACATTGTAAAAGTATTAAAACAAAAGAATATTTACGTACTTGCTTAAAGTTGCTAACTCTCTTTTGACTTGCTGTTCTATGTTACCATTCACATCTTCTCTCTGTAATTGTAGAAACAATTATTATACAAAATGAATGAAATGAAAATAAAACTTAAAAAATTTTGTGCTTCTGAATATATATTTCATTTATAGATTTTAAAAACATTTTTTGTATGCAGCATTTCCTTTACTCACATCAATTAATCTCACATTCATGTCATTGGTTCAAAAACCTTTGAATAAATGCATGCAAAAATTTCTGAATTCACAGTATTAACTTTTATCCAATATTTTTTGGCATTATTGCACATTAGCTTAAGCATTTACCAAACAGAACTCGTAGAATTTCTTCAAACAAATATGAACTCAAAATATACAAATAATTCTACATGAAAGAATACTTTCCAACCTGACATACTTACAGAAAATAATTTTTTAACAGCACATTTTGTATTTTTTAAAACTGCATGGAAAACTTTCCCATAAGCACCCTGTCCAATTAAGTATTCATCACTGAATCCATCAGTTGCTTGAACAATTTCTTTGTAACTAAAACCATGAATTCCATTTAAAGCTATTGAATAATCAACATCGTTGTCTTTGGATTTGTGGTACTCTGAGGAACCAACATCTTTGTCTTTGGATTTGTGGTACCCTGAGGAACTTTTGTTATTTTGTAATCTCTGTCTTAATGCCGTATTAGATGCCATATTGTCCATACTTTTTCCTGGGCCACTCACTCCAACTTCATGCATTATTGTTTTGTCTTCACTTTCAACTTCTTTGCTAATTTGTTTCTTAATCTGCAACATCAAAATATTAAAAAAAAATAATTATAACTGAGTAAAATTACTATCATAGGTTCAAAAATATGCAACATAAGCCTTTAAATCCCCTTTCATTTTACCTAAATTTCTAAAGATAAATATTTTGCTGCAACAGACATACACAGTAAATGTATCTCAAATTATGTTACAGAATGAAATACCATACCATCCTTTCTACCCAAAGTCTTAATTCCAAACCCCAAAAATGTTCACTGAAAATTCAATTATTACTGCAATGAAATATGATTTAAGGTGTAATGGACATAACTTGTGAAGAAATTTATAACAGTTAAATATACATGTAGTCTTGAATTATATTAAAGTACATAGTTGATTCAAACTTACTGAAGGTTTAGAAATCAATCCTCCATCTAAATGTTTACTTCCCATTTCCATTTTGTCTTTGAATGTATCACATCTGTTTAAATTGACATTGACATCTTCAACTTTTGGCGGGGAAGTCTTTCTGTTTTGTCCTTTCCCTGGAGGCTTAATGCTTTCTATAAACAATACAAAATGTAATAAACTTGATATCAAATTATCAAACAGTAAATTTTGGTTGAAGCTATAAAATAATTTCACAACAGGGATTTCAGAAGTTTTTACTTCCCTATTTTATACAGGTGAAATATATCCAAAAATATCCCTCACCTTTAATTAGCTTTTCTCTGTAATGCATTTGTACTTAAAAATGTAAGGTTACTACTGAAACAATTAAAATCAGTTGGTGGTTGTTTCTAAAATCATGTGATTTTCTCTCAAAGTCAAGTCTAAATAGTTTTCTTTTATCTATTGAAAATTTTTGCTCTACTGCATGATGTCAAAAAATTAATGACCATTAAAGCTTAAATACCAAATAAGGAAATATGAATTTTATTGCCAATTAGAAAACTATCCACCATAGAACATAGAATAAGGATGTTAACAATTACACCCAGATCACTCAAAAGACTTTAAATGATGAGCAATCCCCATACCATACGGAAAACTATAAAAGGCCTCTAAATAGCAAAAGATTATCATTTCAAACAGTACACCTTACATCCTGATTCAAGTAAATAACATTAGATAAAAATCATTAAGGTAGACAACAACAAATTACATCATCTGAAGCAAATATTTTTAAACAAGAGTGCACATGCTGAAATGTCTCTCGCCTGCTTTACTAACCATTGATTTTATGTTGAAAGTCTTAAAGATAAAGGTTTTATTAACAGTATAAAAGAAACTTTACATTTTTAAAAATCTATGACAATGAGGTCAAGGTCAGATAAATTGCGTCAGACAGACATCTACACCTTACAATTTTTTTATACACCAATTTACTTGACCTATTGCATATGCTAGTTGAAAAACAGACCAAAACACAAAAACTAAACACTGACAAATGAACCATAAATATGAGGTCAAGGTCAGATTATCCTTCCAGACAGAAATGTGCACCTTACAATTATTGAATACACCAAATATAGCTGACAAATTGCTATAAGTATTTGAAAAATAGACCAAAATACGAAAACTTAACATTGACCATTGAACTATAAAAATTAGGTCAAGGTCATATGATACCTTCCAGACAGACATGTACACATTACAATCATTCCATACACCAAATATAGTTGACCTATTGCTATAGTACTTGAAAAACAGACAAAAACACAAAAACTTAACATTGACCATTGAACCATGAAAATGAGGTCAAGGTTGGATGAAACCTGCCATACTGACATGTACCCATAACAATCATTCCATACACCAAATATAGTTGACCTATTGCTTATAGTACTTGAAAAACGGACAAAAACACAAAAACTTAACATTGACCATTGAACCATAAAAATTAGGTCAAGGTCAGATGATACCTTCCAGACAGACATGTACACATTACAATCATTCCATACACCAAATATAGTTGACCTATTGCTTATAGTACTTGAAAAACAGACAAAAACACAAAAACTTAACATTGACCAATGAATCATGAAAATGAGGTCAAGGTTGGATGAAACCTGCCAGACTGACATGTACCTGTAACAATCATTCCATACACCAAATATAGTTGACCTACTGCTTATAGTATTTGAGAAACGGACGTAATCAAGTAACTTTAACCTTGATCACTGATCCATTAAATGAGGTCGAGGTCAGGTGAACTCTGTCTGACGGACATGTAGATGTTGCAAGGAACCCATATACCAAATATAGTTATCCTATTACTCACAATAAGTGAGATATTCACGACAAAAAAAACTAAAAAACAATTTTTCAAGCAGTCGCTGAACCATGAAAATGAGTTCAAGGACAATGGACATATGATTGACGGAAACTTGGTAACATAAGGTATCTGCATACAAGATATGAAGCATCCAGGTCTTCTACCTTCTGAAATAAAAAGCTTTATACAAATAGTTTACGCCGCCACTGGATAGTAATACCTATGTCTCGCTTAATGCAACTTTCTTCGCAGGCGAGCCAATTAAAACCGATGCAGCCTCTTGCTGAAAATTATGTTTACTATATTATCAAAATATTTATCTACTTATTCACTGAAATTTCATATACAACTGGATATATCTGTGCATTTAAGTAACTACCACGAATATTTAAAATTCTATAATGTGCTACTGTAGTGAGAATTTCTTATTCAAAATTGCATACAAAATACATTTACAAATAAACGTACATCAGGTACAAACAACCTTTTAAATGCAAAAACGATCTGCATTATCTAATTTACAAGCTTTTTGGTAATATAGCTCCAAATTTTCAATTATTAAAACACAACACTTTTTGTTTGAAAGCACAATTACTGCTAATTATTTATTTGATTTCCTGAAAGATTATAAACATGGTTTTACTAATAATACATCACATGAAAAAATATTGCAATCATTTATCTGAATTTGCTTCTAAAAATACAGAACTTCAGACTACATGCACTACCTATATATTATTATAATACATAATATAATAATATAAATTGGTCTAAACAGGTTATATTTCAATATTATTTAAATGAAAAAGAGAACAGTAGACACCCTAAAACAATTATGCACATTGTGGTTAATCTCCAGTTCAAGCAGTAATCTGATATCATTTCAAACAATTTAGTAAGTTTCATTATGATCACATTGCTAATTATGGTCCACTTCATTTAAGATACTGTTGATTCAATATTATTCGTGGGATACCAATTTTTGCACATTTCATCAGTACAGGTGAACCATGAATTTCAATCAATGTTAAACAAATTACAAATTTTCTTTAGGCTTGTTTACAGACTTTACAAACAAAAGCACGAAATCAAATATCCACGAAAATACAATTTTTCCTCAATCCAAGAAATATGGTACCCTGGAAAATAAATGAATCCACAGTATTCCATAATGAAATATTTAAAATTTAACTGTTGAGAGTGGAGAAATATCGTAATACACGAGTCATAGTGGTGGAATATGTTTCTCTAATGATTTTTATCCTTCCTTTTCAAAGATTTGCAGAAAGTTGTGTTCTTTATATGTGAGGTCATCAGACATGGTCGCCTTTTTTCATGACATCACAATGGGAAATTCAGAAGAAAGCAGGAGAATTTGCAGAGAAAAGATATTTCACTAGTGAGGAGAAATATTTTTCTCACACTGATCAAGAAATGTGAAAATAGCACAAAAATTAGAGAAAAATTCATCAAATAAGACCATAATACTTACTGCTATCAAAATTATCTAAAGCTGCTTGTATTTGTGATGCTGTCCGGTCATCGTTACTGTTAACTTTCTTTGGTGAATAAAATGACTGAGTATCTTCTGACTCACTCGTAACTATAAAAAATACCAAAAGTAAAGCATGTAATACTACTGCAAGGTCATTTTTCTGTGTTCATGAACTAATTTTATCTTAAGATAGAAAAGGAGGGGGATTGGCTTGTAAATTAAAATCAATATAATTCAATAAAACCTTGCCTTGATGTAGTTTACATCATGATGTTTTCAAAAATATAATAATAAGTATGGATCATAGTGCTTTTTTTATGCCCCACCTAGGGACATTATGTTTTTCAATCTGTGCGTCCGTTCATTCGTCTATCCTTCCGTCTGTCTGTCCGTCTGTCTATCCCACTTCAGGTTAAAGTTTTTGGTCAAGGTAGTTTTTAATGAAGTTGAAGTCCAATCAACTTGAAACTTAGTACACATGTTCCCTATGATATGACCTTTCTAATTTTAATGCCTAATTAGAGTTTTGACCCCAATTTCACAGTCCACTGAACTTAGAAATTGATAGTGCGAGTGGGGCATCCGTGTACTATGGACACATTCTTGTTCAAGCTAAAAGTTGTGCAAAATTTGAAATGTTTTGTAAAAATTATACATGGAAATTTTTTGTGAATAGAAAGAAAAATAAACGATTTTTTTTTAAACTTAAAAATAAGAAGATAGCTATTTATATAATGATCTTTCAGAATATAAACTGAAATAAATTGCTTCGCCAAGTGCAGCTGGATACGACCTCAGAGGTCTAACCCTGAACAGTTGGGGCAAAAATGGACACAATTTTCGCGCTTGATACAGGTCTGAATTTGGATTGTAATTCAACATTTGACACAGAATAACTGTAGTCAAAGAACTGGTTATATGATTTGAATTTATATTAAATTTTTTGCTTTCGTGCAATACACTATGCTGTTGCGAATTGACCTCCCCCCTTCTTTTTCAAAAAAAATTTGTATACCCCCCTCCCCCCTTTCTTTCAAAATTTTGAAGAAATTTTCTTTTCGATTTCTGAAATCTTGAGGAGAAAATAATTCCCCCCCCCCCCCTCCAATTTTTTTTAACCTTCCCCCTTTTTCCAAAAAAAATTCAATGGAGTTTGCAACCATAATAACCCATTTAAATACATCATAAAAGTCTTAAAATAGAAAATGACATACATAATCATAGCTAAAATTAATTTACCTTAATCAGCATTTTAAAAATTATTAAAATAGTAACTTCTTAAAATGAATTGACAGCAAATCACCTCAAGACAACACATCATTTCTTAATACATAATTTAAAAGCAGTGTAAGGGAGGTAATTCAAAGTTGTGTTTGAATTACCTTCCTTACACTGTAATTTGTACTTAAGTAATTGTCCATTGACCAGGACACCCTTGTTTTTTCTCACTTGTTTGCCCCTAATTCCTAAACAGTTTGAGCCATAACCCCCCAAAGCCAATCCTAACCATCCCTTTGTGGTATGGAAACTTGTGGTATAATTTCAGAGAGAGACATACACTGTTCCACAAGTTATTGTCATGAAACTAGAAAAATGCTTATTTGGGCCCCTTAATTCCTAAACTGTTGGGACCATAACCCCCAAAAAAGGGCATAACTCGAGAATGGTTAGAGTGACCCCACCAAAATTCAAACTTGATCTGTATTTTGTGGTAGTAAGCATTGTGTATAAGTTTCATAACATTTGGTTGAGGCAAACTCAAGTTAGAGAACTGAAACCAATTTTTGGACGTACGTATGTACGTACTTACAGACAGACAAGGGTAAAACTTAATGCCCCCTCTGCTACGGCAGGGGCATAAAAATAAAATTGTCCGAGTTATCTGCCCTTATATGACTAAGAGGAAATGAGTAAAGCAAACAAAACTTATCCTGTATTGGTCAAAATAGTCTTAATACTAAGATAAAACACAAAATTGTCATTTAGATGCAAAATCTTACAAATGAATTCAAAATTTGCTTATTTCCTTTGAAAAGATCTAGAAAAAAAGAATGTGTCCATAGTACATGGATGACCCACTCGCACTATCATTTTCTATGTTCAGTGGACTGTGAAATTGGGATCAAAACTCTAATTTGGCATTAAAATTAGAAAGATCATATCATAGGGAACATGTGTACTAAGTTTCAAGTTGATTGGACTTCAACTTCATCAAAAACTACCTTGACCAAAAACTTTAACCTGAAGTGGGACAGAAGGATGGACGGACAGACCAGAAAACATAATGCCCCTACTACTATCCTAGGTGGGGCATAATAATTATTTTCTGCTTGTTCACAATCTAAGATTGCAGAAAACACTAGAAATCCCATATTGTCGGACTCAAAGGATTAATATCCTGTGTAACACTAACAGGAAGTTAAATTACAAGTTATTAGTTAATTATGGCAATTGATTTGGATTTCTATTTTCATAATACAGCATTTTCGAGATCACCCTTATATCAGGATCTTATTTCACTTGAACCTTTCAAACAAGGTAGGCAAATGCACCTGTACTTAATAAAGGAGAAAAGCTACTTAATAATAGCTGCATTTTTTGGAGAGTTGAGATCTTGTAAAAGAACATTTATATATGTAAGCCTCAAATCTATGTCCAGCCTCAAATCTATGTCCTTTCCGCAAATCTATGTCCTTTTTAATATTGCGTCATAGACGTTCCAAATTTATGTCCTATATTGTCTCAAATCTATGTCTTTTATTGTCTCAAATCTATGTCCTTTATTAACTCAAATCTATGGCCATTTTTGTCTCAAATCTATGTATAAACACGGGATCAAGAAAAGCAAACAATTTGAAAATGTTGTAGTTTTACAATAGAATGTAAATCATATAATAATTACACACGCATGTAAAATTTTTAAGCACACACATGGAGAACACATCCCAACTTAACATTGAATTTTGGGAAATGACTTAATAAAACAAAAATCCTATAAGGCCGTACTTATTAGACGGGCATACATTAGCGCATGGCGAAACAAACTGGAAAAAGATTTAAGAAAAGGACACAGATTTGAGGCCGTATCTTTTTTAACGGACATAGATTTGCGAATCACGTCACGATTGAAAATAAATTTGAAAATAGGACACAGATTTGAGGCCGTATCTTTTTTAACGGACATAGATTAGCGATTGACGTCAGGATGGGGCACAGATTTGAGAAACGGACACAGATTTGAGGCTGTACACAGATCTGAGGTTTACATATATATATATAACTAAAAATATATTTATCAATAAAAAGTTAATCAACGTACACCATGCCTCTAAAATTTGCATTTCTCTTCTTCTGTTTATCTTGTGTAATTTGTCATGAAGATCTTGGGCTGTAGGATTCTTAGCTTGCCAATCTGTTAGCATTTGCTGAGCAGGACTTACTCCAGGTCGCCTTTGTTCCATTTCAAATACCCTGACTTGTTGATGGGTATAACCTATTTCTGCAGCTGTAAAATGAGAACAAAATATATTTATGTCAGTATTTAAGGGTTTTTTAACAACAAACAATATCTCAGTTTTAGGTTTTCCCTCATGTTGATTGATCTACCTAGCTTACCTATTCCCTAGTTAGAATTTCATATTCAAGTTTCAGGCACCCGACTCAATCGCTCTCAACCACCTGTCATTGTCATTCAGCTATTCGTGCATTGTGTGGTCAGGAGCATCACACATTACAGTAACTTGCAGCCACTCAGTCAGGCTCTTGTTACACAATCTTACAAGTCACCTATTTCCTCAGTGACATATTTGTGAAAAGGCATAATAATGGACTAGCAAAGATTTAAACACTTAAAATAATATTTTAAAACCTTCAAGGGATTTAATGAAATTTGGACAGAAGCTTGTTTATGACCAAAATACAGTATCCAGAGCAAAATTTGGAAACATTTATTTTCATTTTTCCGTATTTTACTAATAACTTAGTTTATTTTACAGTTAACAAGTAGATACAGTCTCCAGGGGTTAAAGTTTGTTACACATCAATTACTTTGTCAAATCTTAATAGAATTTATAAAACTTTGGCTGCAGCAAACTTTTGAAAACATTTTTGTTTTCATTTTTAGTCATTTTCTGATAGATTGACTTACTTTTTTATTGTCAACATTTAGAGACATTCTTGGATTAAATTTTTTTGACTTGAATATTCTGTAAACCTTCATGGATTGTTATGAAACTTGGACAGAAGATAATCTTCAAGACCAAGAAATAGCATCTAAATTGAAGTTCATTATATTATCATCGATCAAGACAACTAAGTTAACAAATCCATTTTTTCTGACTAGCATAACTGGAAGACAGATTCATCAAATTTTTTTCAAAACTTGTTTCTAAAAACCATCTTTGACCTCTAAGTGTAATTGTACTTAATCAATGAATATTTCTTTTTCAGTAATAAAATACTATTTAAACTAAAATAAGACTCTATGAGCTTTGCTGTTGTGGTTTGAGTAAGAAGCAAGATTTGGACAGACACAGGCAAGGTTAAGTCTTAAATTATAAGATTATAATTGCTGTATCACAAAATAAAACTTTCTTATCTCAAATGATTCAATGTTTATATACAGATGCACACAAATGTGCATGGTGACTAACAAATAATTATCTACATCCACTATATTAACATCATAGTCATAGGGGACTGGGTCACGCCTTTGACACAGGTCCTCTTGTCTGAATAGGGGTTTTTCAAAGTGATGTATCCAAGATTTTTTAAATTTGAACCCAGAAGGCCCAATACAAAATAAGGGCTGAGGATGAAATTTTGGGCCATAAAGTTACAGCCTGGCCTGAATTACACCAAAAATGCTCTGACTTATATTGTTTTTAAGTATACTGAATTGTTTATGACTTACAATCAATTCTAGTTGTACAACTTTTTGTGAAACACAGACCAGTCTCCCTTAGAAATCATGAATTGGGAACATTTTTTACAAATAAATATTCATATTTCAACTTTTCAGCTTGTTTCAAGTTTTTACATAAAACCTGTCACTATACATGCCATTGACTAATTGGATCTGACATTTTATGCAGAATACAAAAGTTGTTTTTGCTTGAAATCAAGTTATGGAAAAGAAGGTCACTGTGGTGTATCAATTTATTAGACAAATTCCCTAAACAAACTTGAACAACTCAAAGGAAAGGAAGAGTGCCGTTATTGCTGTTCTTCATCTCAAAATTAAGCCTTCAACACTGAGCAAATGTTCACACCCAATTAACTGGAGTAAAATTCAAATTTAGTAATGTCTGTTTCTGATATTTTTATCTAGTGGTAGTGATTCTGGTTATACATCTTCAGTACTTTAAACTTTAGAAAAGTAAGCATGGTACATAAATTTCTCAATGTTAAAATAATGTGTAGAATTATTTTCTTAATACTGTTACACTTGTATTAGTTTGAATAAAATGTATGTGGAATGTGTTGTTCATTCTTTTATTTGGAAGTGCTGTAAAATGATGTGTCAGTACTTGAGGAACCTGAAGGGTATTTCTTTTCTTAGTTTAATACCAAAAATAAAGGATGAAAATTCAAGACTTGTGCATGAAAGGTAAATACAAAACACAAATAAGATTATGAATTGAAAAACAAAAGAAATAGCTCGACCATTTCTGGAAAATATGTGCCAAAATTTTTTAGAAACAAAATTGTAAGCCCTATCTTGCCTCTCCTCGGCTGAGAACAAGGAAAAGGTTTATAATTTGTCAAGAAGTGAAATGACTGAACTTTTATCATAAATATATAACTTAAGTATTTCCTTATTAGAATTTAATTCAAAATAATCAACAGAAGTAAGAGTCATGAAAGTGTATTGGCAAATACTCAAGGATAACTGTATTAACAGTTTAAGCCAAAACTACCTGAAAAAATGTTGAATCAAATATTTAATACATTATTTATTTACATATGTATTAAATTCATTTTAAATGCATTTCCAAAAAAAAATGAGATACAAACAATTCATGAATTGTGATTTGTTAAAATATGAGAAAATATACGATTACAGGTAAAACTTACCGGGAATAGGGAATATAAACGATGATTTCTACAGGTGAATTATGTTTACATCTTCATAATTAATTGATTGATTAACATCAGAGGTTTATCATGCCTGTCAAAAACCAAGTCAATCGTAACAATTTCTTTTCAATTTTTTCTGACATTTTCATTGGTTATTAGGCCAGCCAAACAAATGATATTCTGTTGTGTAAGAGGATATCTCTACTTGAATAAATATAAGCACAATGTCACAAAAGAAAAAGGTTGCACTTGCAGTTATGAATAAAAAATAATATGGAATTCAACTGTTAAAATAGGGGCTTCCTGTTACTTGAAAAAAGGTCAATTACTTGAAAGTAAAACATGTACTCAATTAAATCAACAGTTGTTTTCATCTATATTATTGTGAATTCAGATACATTTATTGTATTTAAACAGAACATTAGCTGAAATGAGGAAACAACAAAGATTTCTGAGAATGAGCTTATACACATAAATCAACAAAATTCCCAAATGTGGACTAAAAGGTTACTGTAACAGTGTCCATAAAAATCAAATATAATCTTGAAATAGCACCAATATATTATCATGGAGTCTCTAAGAATGAACACAGATGACTTATCACAATCAAGAAAGACTTACCTACAAATGAAATAATAAAATGCTCCGCAGGGCGCAGCTTGATACGACCGCAGAGGTCGAACCCTGAACAGTTGGGCCAAGTATGGACACAACATTCAAGCTTGATACAGCTTTGCATTTGGATTGTGATTAAATATTTGACACAGCATAGGTTTCTGACACAGAATGAATGTGGTCTAAGAACTTAAAAATTTTAAATTGGACATTCACCTATTATGGTCCAATATCCAAAATCTAAATACATGGTTAGATTCAGCATATCAAAGAACCCCAAGAATTCAATTTTTGATGAAATCAAACAAAGTTTAATTTTGGACCCTTTTGACCTCAATGTGGACAAAGTTGATAACGGGGCCCAAAAATCAAAAATCTAAATACATGGTTAGATTCAACATATCAAAGAACCCCATATATTCAATTTTTGTTGAAATCAAACAAAGTTTAATTTTGGACCCCGACTTGGACCAACTTGAAAACTGGGCCCATAATCAAAAATCTAAATACATGTTTAGATTCAGAATATCAAAGAACCCTAAGAATTCAATTTTTGTTAAAATCAAACTAAGTTTAATTTTGGACCCTTTGGACCTTAATGTAGACCAATTTGAAAACGGAACCAAAAATTAAGAATCTAAATACACGGTTAGATTCGGCATATCAAAAAAACCCAATAATTCAATTTTTGATGAAATCAAAACAAAGTTTAATTTTGGACCCTTTGGACCTCAATGTGGACCAATTTAAAAACGGGGCTCAAAATCCAAAAACTTAATACACGGTTAGATTCAGCATATTAAAGAACCCCAAGAAGTCAAGAATAAAACCCCATTGAAATTGGTCAAGAAATAAGCAATTTATACGAAGTATCTTCTTTTGCACAATACTGTGCAATTAAATATTTCTTGCTATTGCGCAATACTGTACAATTGACAATTTCTTGCTATTGCGCAATATTGTGCTATTGGATATTTCTTGCTATTGCGCAATACTGTGCAATTGAAGATTTCTTGCTATTGCGCAATACTGTGCAATTGAAGATTTCTTGCTATTGTGCAATACTGTGCAATTGAAAATTTCTTGCTATTGCACAATACTTATGATATAATAATTTACACATCCTGTTTGGTGTGTATCTCCTACCATATCATTATTATTTGCTTTTAAATATAAATCAGAAATAACCAACTTAAAATGGAAAATTTTAAAAGAAAAAAAAAAGGAAAAAAAAATTTTTGAACCCCCTTATGATTCATCACCCCCAAACTCAATCCCAGCCTTCCCTTTGTGGTATGGTACCTTGCAGTACAATTTCAGAGAGATCCATACACTTGAACACAAGTTATTGTCTGGAAACTAGAAAAATGCTTATTTTTGGCCCCTTTTTGACCCCCAATTCCTAATTGTTTGGGCAATTACCCCCAAACTCAATTCCAGCTTTCCCTTTGTGATATGGAACCTTGTAGTACAATTTCAGAAAGATCCATACACTTACACACAAGTTATTGTCATGAAACTAGAAAAATGCTTGTTTTTTGCCCCTTTTTTGGCCCCTAATTCCTAAAATTTTGAGGCAATTACCCCCAAAATCAATCCCAGCATTCCTTTTGTGATATGGAACCTTGTGGTACAATGTCAGAGAGATCCATACACTAACACACAAGTTATGTCTGGAAGTTACAAAAATGCTTATTTTTGGCCCCTTTTTGGCCCCTAATTCCTTTACTGTTGGTACCATAACCCCCAAAATCAATCCCAACCTTCCTTTTGTGGTATTGAACCTTGTGGTAAAATTTCATAGAGATCCAT